TGCCTCATCCATGACGAATCAGGAAGGCGAATGGGCTCAGCAATAGGGGCCGGCGGCCACGGAAGAGGTCTCTCCGAAATGATGCCAGTTCACTGCCCCTGTATTGGTGAATCATGCCTGCTCAGGTAATGTGTTCTTGCTGGTCAGGATAGGTCGGACTCGGTCACTGCTCCATTACGAAAGAAAAGGGAGGGGTGGGGGGGGGCATGCTTCAGCCCGCCGAAGCCAGCCATCCTTGCCCCATCAACTGAACGCCAAGAACGCATCGCCCTCAGTCTGCCTTGGGCATAGACGTAGTCGGCCTTTGCGGCCTTTTCGCGATTGGTCAGCTCCCCGTGGGAGGTCTCACGAGGACCAACAACACAGTTGGGTGCCTGCTGCCTCAGAATGGAGCGCGACAACAAGAGGCTACCATCCCGTCAGATCATCGGTCTCAGGGGGATGGCTTCGACGGCGGACTTCAGGCATCAGTCAGTATACAGCAAAAGGCCATGAGCGAGGAGGGAAGGTTCATACAGGTGTAAAAAATCCTCCAGGCGAGTAACGAAGAGGTCCTTGGAAAGCATTCTTACGATGCAACCGGTCGTTCTGAATCGGTAGGAAAGGGAGAATGAGGCCGATGCCGTCGCCAAGTTGCCCTGGAGCGATGATAGCGGTCCCATGCGACCGAGCAGATGACGCGGCCAGCTTATGGAAATAAAACTCAGGCTAGGGAGGAAATGAGGGAGCGACGGAAGGGGCAGAAGTCGAGAGTACAAGTTCACGAGGGCGGATGGACGTTGGGCGGCAGCGAGAACGCTTATATAGCAACGGGTCACGTGACGTGGCGCCGGTGGCGGGCGGAGAGGGCACTTTGCCCGAACGGCCATGCCGCTAAACCCGGCGGGTGCAGCAGCGACTTCGCGATTGCACGCCGCATCGAGGAGGATTTCGTGAGGTTCGGCCCGCGCGGCGTGCGGGGATCGTCATTTGACTTTTGCTTAATGACCGTGATAAGATATTAGCTGCGCGGCGTCGAGGAGGATTTCGTGAGGTTCGGCCCGTGCCGCGTGAGGGGATCATCATTTGACTTTTGCTTAATAGACCGTGATAAGATGTTAGCGCCGCATCCCAATACCCTAGCTCGAAAGCGTGCTCGTTAGCGGGCTCGTGAGTTGTCCCAATGTAGGCTGATATCTATTATAAGAGCATAGAACAGAGTGTTGATGTCCTCATATATCGGTTGAGGGTATAGCGATAACTAAAGACTTGGATTTGTTAGAGATCACAAGTGTGAGGCGACCAAGTCGGTGGTAAAGGTGTGGAAGAAAGTGAAACATTCCACAGAGATCGTGCCTGTACATAAATAGTAGTTCTCCTACTATTTATTTAGAATGAATCAAGTAACCTGAATCTTCTCATTTCAACAGGATTAGATAGGAGCGAGAGGTGGCCAACTGGCGATACTTATCAATAGAAATATGTCTGAAAAAAGTTCCAATTTGATTTGCCCTAGCTGCTTTATATATTTCTCTTGGCTACCTTGATCTTCCTCAGATGTTCATAATGGCACCAGCGCTGACCTCAATTCAAGTATCAAGTCAAGTATTTCAAGTAAGTCAAGTAAGTTGACGGCCTAATATATTTCAAGTAAGTTCATAATGCCTCAAACTTGATTTACTTGAAATACTATATTTTATGGGTTTTCCTGTGCGACGGTCCTGGGAGTGCCGAGGCCATTCGGGGCTCGTCGGGCCCCAGGTGTAGTGTAATGAATTTGGTGTGGCCCCCAAGCTGATTGCACCAATGATAATCAGGGACGCGGTAGGGGTGGCGCGGATTTATTGTTTTGTTCGCCCGCGTGGTCGAGACATGTCGCACCTGACTCAGAACCCAAGTAGTCCCTTTGGGAGAAGCATCCACGATCCGCGATCCGCCAATGATCCGCTATGGCAGCATAACAGCAGTCGCTAGAAACGCTCCTGGGGATTAGCAGTCAGCGCAAATCACTGAAACAGCAGCTTGACGCTGCGTCCATCAAGGCTGAATCTGGGAGAATGACTCTTGCTGACCTCCCAACGGTCCAGATCGGCTGCAAGAGGTATATACCAGAGGAGTATATTGCCAACAAGAATCGCAAAGGCCGGCGGAGCTGGATTCAAGCCCACGGATTCTTCCTTACGGAAGTTAGCCCTGATTTGCGGACGTTGCAGACCTACTGGGCTTGCTCGAAATGTGATGAACGCGGGAAGAGCTCGTTGTTCGTCGCGACAAACACTATGTCGCCAATTGAACATCTCCGAAGGTATATGGCATCTGTATGAGTCCGATATTTATTCTTTTTTAGCGTCTTACTGGATATAGGTTACATATGATCACTGAGGCGGACGGCAATGCGGACGAAGATTCGTCTCGCGCTGACATTCACCCCCCTTCGAAACGGCGATGCCTGGAGCTTCCTACTGCAAAATCCAATGTTAATAAAGCGAAGGAGCTGACGGTCGGCTGGATCGTTACTGCCAATCTTCCTTTTACGGCGCCGTTGAATCCGTACTTGCGACGAATGCTCGACTTACACGATGTGTTATTGGCGAAAGAGGTGCTGTGGAGCCGGCAGTCGGTGCGTGATACTATGCGGAAATTATTCGAGGTAAAGAAGGGAGTAATATTGAGTCAATTGGAGAAGGCAGTTACAAGGATTAGCTTTAGCTTTGATATGTGGACTTCTCCAAACCGGTATGCTTTCCTTGGCCTCTACGCTCACTATCTCGACGCCTCCTATTAAGTCCAATCGCGACTTCTTGCCCTACGCCGTGTGTGGGGAGCTCATTCCGGAGATAACCAAGCAACGACAATATATAACATCTTCGGCGAGTACGGGATACGAGATCGGGTTGGCGCGGGTGTCTGCGATAATGTCTCGTCCAATGACATATGCTTAGCCAGCCTCTATCGTCAACTTTCTCCTGCGATGGCCGAGGAGGATATTAGAAACCATCGAATACGGTGCTTTGGGCATATTGTCAACCTTGCAGCTCAAGCGTTCCTCTGGGAGAAAGACCCTGACTCGTTTGAACGAGAAGCCTTCACCGAGGCGGCTTTCTAAGTTGAAGAGCGTGAGCTTCGACTTTGGCGGAAACGGGGAGCAGTGGGCAAGCTGCATAACATCGTCCGGTTCGTTAGGGCTTCTCTGCAACGGCGAGAGTTGATGAAATCTCTGGCATGCAACCAGCGCGATGAAGACGGCTATCAACTCTTTGAGGAGGAGCGAGCTGCTATCGACATCGAGCTGATGTAAAATAAGAAAACTAGATAGAATTCGACTTTTCTGATGATCCAGTGTGCCATTTGCAAACGAGAGCACATTGACCATTTCATCGCATATCTCGAAACGAAGGCAGCAGAGCCCCGACAACGTGTGCCTCTCTAAGATCAGCTTTCACCACAGGACTGGCTTCTGTTGGCGGAGATACAGAGTCTACTTACACCACTCTACGAGATCACCATGAGGTGCCAGGGTTGGGCCAAAGAAGGCCGTTACGGCGCCTTGTGGGAAGTGATGATCGGAATGGAATATTTGCTCAACTTCTTCGAGGAGTAAAAACTGATATTCTCGCCACCTGATGGTACTGCAGATGAGCTAAGGAATGCCAGAGCCTCGGCAACCGAGAGTACGGCTTTCTAGTTCATATTCGCTCGTCTTATGCCTATTTTGCTAATAGTTTCTCAGGATGTAGTACTCCGCGAGTTGACTAGGGTCGCGGACGCGAGAAATACTTGCCACAGCACACTCGAGACGAATACACTGGTGCATTTTTGCAAACTGAGAGTCTTGATGATGACCACCGACAATGCATACAAATCTCTATCAATATCTGTTGGTTAAAGCTTGATGAGTATTACAGTCTACTTGGCCAATCGCCACTTTATCCGGCTGCCGTTATTCTGCACCCGCGCTGGAACATGTCTTGGCTTGAGGCGAACTGGACTAGCCACGAGCAACTAGTGTGGCTACGGGACGCTAAGAACAGTGTCCGGGAATTCTTTGAACAACAGTATCCACGTAAGGAGCAGTCCGAGACAGCGAGAACCGTAATAGGAAAAGCGATGCGGCAAGACGAGCCCAGTCAATTCGACCAGTGGATGCAGAGTTACGATCGGTATATGATGGAGGAAGAAGATGAGCTTGGAGTTTATATGAAGCAAGGGCCAGTCCAGCGAGAGAACCTGAACCCCATTCTATGGTGGAAGGATCACCAAGAAGAATATCCACGTCTGAGCAAGTTTGCCCTCGACATCCTGGCAATTCCTGCTATGTCTGTCGATCCTGAGCGGACGTTTAGTGTCACAAAGTTGACAGTAAGCTCGCAAAGGCACAGCTTAAGTCCCGAGATTATAGAGGAAATACAGTACCTACGGAACTGGCTAGGCCATCAAGCAATCACTGTGGGCGAGGTCGTCAGCTTTGGTGGGGACCTGATGGGTTGGGATGGAGGGGAGGCGTGAGAGTACCAATAGCTTCATCCTGGCCTCAGGTCAGCGCTTTCAATTCAAGTATATCAATTCAAATCAAGTTAAGTAAGTTCACGGACGATTTTATTTCAAGTAATCAAGTTACACCCCCGAACTTGACTTACTTGAATTGAAGTCAGCGCTGAATGGCACTCCAGGTGGCAAATGTGGTGATTACAGCTGAGGCGCCGTATCGCACTAGACAGCTGTAGCAGCAACAAAAGCGAAGTGAACACTCCAGCTATTGTGCTAATAGTGGTTTAGTGCTTTTACTGAACGTAACAGGCTGTAGTTTCCATCGTAGATGGAGGAGGGCGTCTTCGAGCCAGCGTTAAAGCTAAGGGTCTGACGACGGACGGGGTTAACATATTCAGCGAAGGTGGAGGCATAGAGAAGTAAGGGTCATCGATCTGTTGAGAAGCTGGCTGAGGTGATAAAGGGCCTCCCTTTAAGAGATCTGGGAAGACCGAACTATTTAGATCTATCGCAAATGGATCTATTACCGAGGGTTACCATATGGTCCTCGTCCAGGCCGGCGAGGGGTGGTTTGAACCATCTAATATAATATTACTTATCCCGCTCTGGCTCGTTGTGCTGATGGCGGACGGACTAGATCTATCCACCACGTCTTCATTTGCGAGAAAAGCCATCTGATACTCAAATCCAGTCAACTGTTCAAAACTATTGTTGAGGGTTTGGCTCAAGGGCATCTCGTTCCAGAATGGCGCAAATGGTGAGGCGTATTCTAAGGCCATAGATTGCGGCGAATTATTGTAATGGAGGACATTGAGGTTTATTGTTGAGTCCGGCTCGCAGAGGAGGCCCTCAAAGTCGAATTCGGCATTGAAGGCAGCCATCGATGGCGCTGTCTGCAGGCCGGTGCTTGGCTCGAGGCCGCCCAAGGTGCGCGTCTTCGGCTTGACCAACCCATGCTGCACCCCTTGCTGTCCCACGGCTGCTGATATACCACTGAAGTCATAATCCAAGCTGTGGATGGGCAAACCGCCCAGACTGGGGTATCGGCTATGGGTATAGATAGGGGGGAGGTCTCGTGCGATAGGGGCATTCGCAGCAGCAATCATCTGCATCATACTGCAGTCAACATAGATGATAGTATTTGCCAGCAGCCTTATAGAAGTAGCCGGCATATTGGATACAGCTGGATTAGGTCCTGCGATGCTATTCTTGCGAGCTCGGCTCTTGTCGGGGAGGACGCTACTGGCAGACTCGCGATGATTTTGGGGATGTGACGATGGGGTTAAGGTCTGGTGCAGCATCTGCTTGTGACGTAGCAGCATATCACCACGGGTGAAGCATCGTGCGCATTTGGAACACTTGAAGGGTTTCTCCTTGGTGTGGGAGCGCTCGTGTCGCTTGAGATTGTACAATCGGGCGAAGGAGCGCTTACAGGTGCCGCAAATGTGCGGACGAGGCTTGTCCGCCTTGGTGTTGGCAGTAATTGCGGATGCTGGAATTGTCAGTATGCAGTGTCGGGGGCCATAAGGAGCAGTACCGGCAACAGTAGGATTGCTTACCAGAGTTATTGGCGGTAGAGGGCGTGCTACCGACGGCCGCATTGGACAAAGGGGGATTGGACATTATGGTTGAAGAGCATGGGACCCTTACCCCAGAGTCGTTTATTCACTGTGGCAGGTGTTGCAAACTCGCGCGAGTTCGCTCGGGAGTCGGGAGGGTTGGAGGCGGCGTGCCGTCGCTGGTCGGCGATGAACGATATCGAGCGAGGTTGGCGGGGAGAATAACGGGCTTATATGTCGATAGGCGTGGGGATGGCGTGGGTGAACGAGCAATAAATAGCACCAGTCAAAACGTATCTTAACTACAGCGCGACGTTATTGTATCTGTATAATAATTTTGCTATCGATAGTTTGCGTATATGCTGGGGTCGAGGCTCCAGTCTGTAGATATGTTCCAGGCTCTTCCCGAAGCAATTAGTGGCTCGTTGCGCCGCGAGTCACGAAGCCTGGGCCCCGATCTCCAAGGCTCCGCATCACGGGGTAAAAGGCTGAGAGACTAAGAAAGAGGCAGAGCTAAGAGGCGTTACGGACTCAGATGGCAGAAGTGCGGCTCAATGCGGCCCAACAGGCGGATGAGACGTGGCTTGGGGCGTGCGATATGGAGAAGTGTGGATGGAGTTCCCCAAATTCTCCTCCAAGCTGACGACCGTGCACGCGAATTCCGGCGCAGCTAACTTTTGGAGTTTGGGGCGGCGCGGGTCACTGTCACGCAATCGCGCTAGAAAGAATAGAAGGCTCGGTGCCTAGTCCGGCCAGCGCCATCACCCCTTGTCCAGCAGCCTAGGTGCGGCTCCGCAGCCCTGATTCATGTCATATGCCGAACCTGTTTCACACTTGACGTTGATGTCCGGATACCCCACCACCTTCATGATTCTCATTGAGTCCACATCTCTAAACGCCCCGCTGGAGGATATACAGATGTAGGATATGCATATATACACCCATAAGCGAGACGGAATGAATTCCGTTCTAAGGTCGGCATGGAGGGATCAACAGAGATATATATAAGAGATAAAAATAGGGCGAATAAGGCGACAGTTTATATTGTAGGAGTTTTAGCGTAAGGATAATAAAAAGAGAATCTGAGGTAACTAAGAATTTCATTAGCCTTATACATATAAATTACTTGATTTTACGTTACGATAACATCTCTGCAGCATCAGGCAGATGGTTAAACATACGGACACTTATATGCAGGAGATTAAGGGCCATAGCGACTGGGTTAACTCAGTGACCTTCTCGCAGGATTTGACTCTTGTGGCGTCGGTGGACGGTACGGATCTGGCGTGCTCCGATGTGGGATAGAATACATCAGGAACTCAAGGGTCATAGCGGCGGGGTCAACTCAGCAGCCTTCTCATACGACTCCGTACCCGTGGCATCCCTTTCAGACGATTGAACGGTACGGATTTTCTTATATATTGGCGCACCGATACGGGCCATGCATGCGCCCCTTAGTCTGGTCGGTGGCCTTCTTATACGACTCGACGCTCGGGGCGTCGGCCTCGATCAAGAGGACGGTACGGATCTGGCGCGCCGACACTGGTGACTGCATGCAGAACGTTGACCTTGAGGCTACATGCTCTCACCTCCAGGCCGACCCAATGGTAAGAGTGGGGGCATAGCCTCGGGGGCAGGCCCTGCTCAGCCGCAACGCCTTTGAACGCCACCTGGGAGGGCCGGGCGGCATCGCCGCCATAGCCTCGGCCACTGTCCTCGCCGATGGACAGGGTGTGAGCGCCAACGACGAATCGTTCTTGCTTGGCTGCGTGGCGTTCTCCCTGCATGATTGAGCGGTTCTGGGTGTCCTGGGATGAGCTTTCAGTTGCCTGACTGCGTTGACGTTGACTCGTTCCAATGTGGCGAACTTACTTTTCTGTTCCACGACGCGTTGCAGGGCAACCGCTCACTACTCAAGGGGCAGAGGGTTGAGTTCTGCATACACGCCATTCCGCGTTGGTCGAAAACCCATCACCCCTGAACACCTGAACAGATGCAGCAGGCAAGAGCACTTGGATGTTCCTCCCCGTCCGTCTGTTTAGTGCACGACGAGGCTTGTATCGTACGCAGACGCAGTTTTTCAGCCGTAATTCGTGCCAAAATAACAACCGAGTCATACTCGACGACCCGGCTACAGCTACTTCGAGGCAGACGGGCTATCGACTAAGCCTACTCAATGCTCCGGAGCCCTCTTCGACGAGGCTCTTCAAGGGCATCTAACGTCTATAAATGGTCGTGACATACCTAAAGTCAGGTCCAGATATTCATATCAGAATCACCTCTTCCTCTATCGTCTCTCATCCTTCTTGGGCTTTTATCTTATCTACTGGCTCTGTTTGCTATTGTCCTTCCTGTAACTGCTCTTCTGGCCGCCCTGACATTCATCCATTATCGTCTCCAACTGGAGTGTTTCCAAGACCCCCAAACCTTTCAAAAAGCATATCGAGCATATTCGTGCCATTTGATCTTCTCGACTCCTATTATTGTTGCCCCCACCCTAATCGGTTTCAGTCTCCAGGTGAGTGATCCCGAGATCTGGAAACGGGCGCGCGGATCGCAGCCCTGAGCATAAAGCTCATCTATGCACGGCGGGGCCGGCTCCAATCCGCGGCAGGCCGTCTCGCTTGGGCCGGCAGCTGACGGCCCCAGGACGCCGGACGGCCCGTACCACTTTGGCTCACACGCTAAGCGCTCGGTGACAGTGCTAGATCGGCTCGATACGAGAATGGCGACGAACAACTCATCCACCGCGGCGGTTCATTACATAGATGCTACGCAGTACGGAGCCCTATTTTTGTTGATTGGAATCGTCCATAGCCCTACACACCCCTTGTTCCCCCCTGGATGCTAGTGCCTATATCACGATCAGCTAACGGCTGGGCCGTGTTTCCAGGTCCAGTGCTGCAAGCAACACCAACTCCACAACCTTAAATGGAACCTCTGTCCCAGAGGACCGGGAATACAGCCTCGGACGTTATCTCGATCCCTCGCGCTACGTCCAACAATCTCACCCCGACACGTACCTCCGGGCACCCCCTGGGTTCGCAGCGTCGTCCAACGGCAGTTCCCGGCGTCAAAACGTCCATCGCATGTCCCAAATCCTGAGCATGGTTGATTCCCAGCTTCATCAACCTCCCTCATCGCGATGACGTCTACATGGGTTATCCCCAACGCCGGACAGCCAGCCACGACTGCAAGTCAGGGGTCCAGGGTTCGTTTGGCATCCTTCTCCTCGACATCTTCCATTCCTTGGCTTCCTCGCCTCCCAGCCCAGCCCGTTTCCACGGGTCGCATGGCCCTGGCTAGCGGGTCCACGGTAGATGATTAATTCCGTCTTGGGTTTCGGAGTCTGTGTTTTGTCCCATGATTCGCTGCCGACGAGGCGCAAGGATGGCAAAGGGCGCTTATGGACCGGACGACGATCACATCCCCTAAACATATTCGATACCTATGGACGCCGTTTTCCCCCCGTGGCTTGGGCGTCCAACAATGCCTCCTCCGTAATAACCCTGTCAAGCGGCGACGGACTTCAGCAAGACGGCTTCGTACCAATATATCCATATCGAAATCGAACTCTCTGACTACAATGGCCTCCAACCCACAATCCTTCACAAAAGGAAAACGACAGAAGGAAAATTCGTCCTCGCGCTCCAGCCGCCCCCGAAACTGGTCTGGTTATCCATTTTCGTCACACGAACTTCATCGAAACCTCCACTTGCCAGTGTGTAGTGACATTCGCGCGGAGACTATCTCCAATCTAGAATAGTGCGCATTCGTTGGTTCTCTTGGCTGCTAGTGCCGCTTGACTAAGCCATGTGCTGTGGTTAGTGTCGTGCAAGGTTGAACAGCCACGGTGGAGAGATCATGGATCATTGAATCAGGAACTGTTATCTTTGGCGGCGAAAAATAAAATTGACTGGGGAAGGCATTTTGGGGGGGGGGGGGGGCGGGTGATCGCACTTATCCTCACCCGTCGTTCAAAGCTGTTGCAGTAGGGCAGTGCTGTTCGATGTTCAGAGAAGGGATCGAACAGCCCCAGTTGTCTTGCATGGAGCAATCATGAATCATTGAGACTGACTACCTATAAGAGGACACCGTACTATCCGATTCGATCTCCTGCACGCTCGGGTATGCTGGATTTTGGTCCTAGCGGATGGTATATTGCTTGGAACTAGAAAACCGAAACGCGCCTGTTGAATGGGGCAGTCGGAGATGCGTACACGGCGCAGGTATCCAGAACCAAAGAGTAACTGAAGTCGACCAGTGGCTACTGTACGGATTAGACCAGCTACTGATGTGACAAAAGTAGGTTTATGCACTGATACATTTCCTTGTCACCGATCAATTCTAGGCCAGTCCCGAAAAAGGTCAGGGAGGGCCTTGTGGAGCTCTGTCACTCTTATCAAGGATGGCGCTGCCAATTGTGAGGTTGCAGGAGTGCAATGTCTAACGCCACTTCTGGAGGTGGCAGACACACATCCGAATGAACCTCCCACAGTGTTCCATCTATCTTGGATGAGCCACAGACCTGCAGTGCATCGCCTCACCGCCCTGTTTAGCAGACTCGCCATAGTATAATACGCCTCGATTACTCACAGCATGTCTAATTAGGTCTAATTCAGCTACTATACAGCCAGACTTGCGTCCACAGCCAACATAGCTAATGGCAGCGCACCGCCTCCGCAGATCTGCGTATGCGAACTGCAGCCTTAGCCAATCTGCGAACCTGAAAACGCCCCCATGTATCAACGCCAATTGCGGCGTAACATGGAATAGGATGCGGAATCAAGCAAACGAGCTACAATCAGCAGTGCCGGAAATGGCTTCCACCGGATGACGATGCTGGGGCTCACGTGTGCCGCGAGTGCCACGCCGGCTTGGAGGCTGCAAAACTGCCCACAGCCTACTCCGTCAACAATATGGACATCGGATGTGAGCATCGGTACCCTGAAGTGCTTGATGACCTCTCTCCCGTTGAAGAGAGGCTGATTGCTCTACAGGCCCCCTTCGGCTACATCACAAAGTTCACCGTTGACAAGAAAACCCCGTCGGGACTCAGTTACCGGAAGCATGTGAAGGGCCATATTGTCGTGTCTCCGAACAAGGTGGAGGATCTTGTTGACACAGTTCTCCCCCACCATCTTCTGGAGACTTTCGAGGACATCACATCCACGTCTCTTGGAGCGGCTCGAGCAAACCTGACCCTGCGGACGTTGGGCACCTTCTTCAAAGTGCGGAAATCTCGTATAAGGATGCAGGCTGAATACAAAAGGTTAGCCAATAGTATATATCAAGGTGCTTTTTAACAGTTAGATGGCTTTCAACCTTTTCCAAGCTACTGCATATCGGATCCCAGCTGCAGGTCTCACCTGCATACCCCTCTCAAGAAGGTAGTAATAAGTCGACGGAGTTTGCCGAGCAGTCCAGGGATACGAATAGTTACATTATTTCGTATTGCAAGCCACAATGACGAATTTTCGAATAAACTTTTCCGGACTTTAAAATCAGGTCAAAGGAGACGTTCTGAATGTAAATACTTCCCAGAGTCTAATGCTCTCACAAGACTTCTTTCAGCCTGCCGAGCCACACGTAAGGTTAAGCTCTCATACCTTCATTGGCATAGCTGCCATGGCATGTGATAAATCTCCGGCACTTGGGAATCCCTGTTCAAAAGCATTTGAGAAATCGGTAAATTCCGAATACTTTCTTCGGCGGTTCTGGTCAGGGTTGAAAGCCACTCTACTCAATCCACTGGCTGCTCGAGTGGAATGGGTAGATCATAATCCACTGAATGTGGAGTGGAGTGGATTCGCGTCCATGCCGTTTACGGAGTCTTCCCGTTTTCAGCCTGAAGGGTAAGGTCGTCGTCGTCACCGGCCCCTCAGGTCCCCGTGGCATGGGTATCGAGGCTGCCCGCGGCTGCGCCGAAATGGGTGCCGACATCGCCATCAGCTACTCATCCCGCAAGGAGGGCGCCGACAAGAATGTCGAGGAGCTGATCCGCGACTACGGTGTCAAGATCAAGGCCTAACCTCTCAACATTGCCGATTACAACGACGTCGAGCGCTTCGTCAATGACGTCATTGGGGACTTTGGGAAGATTGATGGTTTCGTTGCCAAGTAGGTCAAGCATAGGATGGAACACATCGCTCGCTAAATAGGCGAAACAATTGCTCCCGGTTAACCTCGATGCAGTGTGGGTGCCACCGCCAACTCGGGTGTCGTCGACGGTTTGGCTGCGGACTGGGATCATGTTATTCAGGTCGACCTTATCGGCACGGTATACTGCGCCAAAGCAGTCGGCGCGCACTTCAAGAAGCAGGGCCACGGGTCTTTCGTCGTTACCGCATCCATGTCCAGCCATGTTGCAAACTTCCCCCAAGAGTAGACCTCATGCAACGTCGCCAAGGCTGGCTGCATCCACCTAGCCAAGTCTCTCGCCAACGAGTGGCGAGACTTTGCCCGGGTGAACAGCATTTCTCCCGGCTACATCGACACTGGACTCTCTGATTTCATCGATCCCGAGACACAAGAGTTGTGGCGGAGAATGATCCCGATGGGGCGCAACGGAGACGCGAAGGAGCTCAAGGGGGCCTATGTGTATCTCATCAGCGATGCTAGTACATACACCACGGTTGCGGATATTGTGGTTGACGATGGGTATACTGCCCAGTAGATGCATGTTACGTAATTAAGTCAAAGAAGTCTTCGATAAACATCTGTTGGATTGCGTACGGCACATTCAATCCAAGGGATAATGTTCAATAGAGTGTGGATCCAGAATCTGATGATTGTATTGATCTTGAATACTTCCGGCCCCCTCTTTTCTCGAGAGGGGTTTTATGTCATCTCACGCCCCCTCTGACTAAGGTGTTGAATACGCGGTGTGTCTTTAGTGTAGATTAGGGATAGCCATATAAATGTAGATCAATTCTTGATATGTTTGGTTGTTCTTGTTCTTGTTCTTGTTGTTGACTCTCGTCTCCACTAGTGTAGTTGGGCAAAAACCCTCGATCGTCCAGGTCGAAAATAGGTTCAAGAAGGACCCCTTCTTCGAGGGGTGTGAGCTTTCGAGAATTAGGTGAAACATCGCATCGAGCGCGTCAGCCGTGGATGCGGTAGCGTAGGGTTGTTGCAGGCGCGTTATAGATATGTGCAGCCTTCCGGATGGAAAGTTTTGGGGTTTTTTCAATAGCTTGAATAGCTAGGAGTAGCCGAGATTCTTTTGAAGAGGATTCCATTTTTGGTTGTAGTGTGATTTAATGTTGAAGTTGAAGAAGCGTGTTGAGGGTGGAAAGTGCCCTGCTCGCTTGTTTGCGCCGCTCGCTTGTGGACCACGTTAGTTCTAAAGAAAGGAATTATATTTAAGCTGGTTTCTAATTAGAGGTATATGTACTGGCACTCTGGTTAGACATGGTTCTTTAAGAAGTCTTTTTAACAAGCTGGACTTGACGAGGGAAGCTGGTGTATCATAGCTGTCGTTGGAAACAAATTGACCAGAATAGCACAATAATGAAGGGAACTTGATCGGGATGTTGCTTGGTGCTAAGACGCTCTTCAGACTGAAATACTACTCAACTCCCCCTATGCCCTTCACAGATCTGGTCTGCTCTGAAAAGTTCGGTCTGGCCTCCACGCCACGCCAGGGTTGCAATCCACTCCACAAAACCCACTGGCGGAGGCAGTGGAGTGGATGGACCTTAATCCACGCAGCCTATCAGTGTAGTGGATCCATTTGAAGCTATCGTGGAGTGGAATTGACGTAGTGGATGAGTGGATGTGTCCACTACGTCAACGGTCAGCAGCGAGCAGTTATTAAGAGTGAAGTTATTCCCAACGCCCTGGCCTGATTAAGTACCGCCGTTCGTGATAGTATAGCTATTCCCAACCGCTTTCTTTTTGGTGGCGCTCTACCACATTCTCAAGCCATGCTGTTGCCCACTCTTGAAGCTCGTCGTCCGTTATGTGAGCCATCTTGAGGTTGTCCTGCCCCTCTGCTACTGAGATAAAGAAAGGGTCTAAGTCTCGAACAATACCCGCCCTGAGCCATAAACATAAGACCTGACAAGTCCCAATAACCTGTGCATCAAGCAGACTCCGCAGAGGTGTTACCATCCCCCCTGCTGCTGAAAAAGACATTCACACTCAGCGGACATAGGTTGGATCGTGAGGAAATCAAGGGCTATTCGTGACAGGCGTAGATACTTAAATCTTTTCTCGTGCCAATAAGCAAGAGGGTCACAAACCTAAGCATCACCACTCTTATAGTTCGAAATCCAGTGTTGATACTTTTCTTCAAATAGCTTCAGACTGTTGTTACCTTATGTTACTAGTGCTGCGCAGCAGTTCTCTTCAAGCTATTCTTAGAACGGATTGCTGTACGTCTTCTGCCGTTTGGGAGTTGGTTTTTTGTCATTAACAGCTATTTGAAGAAAGCTAGTCTTACGATACTTATAGGGCTATATGTTGTGAACGATTTATTTAGCCTGATGAATCCATTTAGGGTTGTCAACCTACTTACAGTTAAACTACTTCTAGTAGTATGCTAGATAGAGTGTCAGCTCAATATAATAGATAACGTACTTGATAAGCATGCGCCGCATCCAAGTATGCGCCGCACTTTTCCTAACCCTTTAAAATTAAAACTTCAATAAAACCACAACAACATATTCAATCAATTAAAACTAATCGCTATACTCTTCTCCAGAGGTCTCAATTACAGTCTGACAAGTCCTTGCATTATGGCCAGTCTTTCCACAAGTTCCACAGCGCCTTTCCTTCAGTCGCGCCGACCTTCCTTAACCACCACTTTTCGACGATTCAGCCTGTACCTGCATATTGACATCTATTTGATTAATTGCCTCCCTTCCTTCCTCTACAGTCATCTTCCCTTTATTCTATAGGCGGGTTCTTTTTGCTCTACGCTGCTTGCTAAGAGTCTTATTTATTTATCAAAGGATCTAATTCTTAGATTTTAATAATACTATTTAATATATTATTGCCTTTATTCCCTTAAAAAATAACTTAAGTACCTTAAGAATAGATACTGGAGAGCTGCTCTAATACCTTCTTACTTGTCTTTTAAGGTATTCAGACTGCGAACTGGCCTTAAGTACTATCTTTAGAATCTTCAAGACCCAAGAGTCGGGGAGGCCAACCTCCTCTACAGCTGGTATTGGAGTTTATAGCTGTATATTAAGCTTTAATATAACATTTTCTGGGTTTAAGAGAATAAGTCCAGCTTCTTAAAAACCTCCTTTAATATTACTTCTTATTATAGCAGCTATATAGGCAGTATAAAAGGCTGGAAAGAACTCGATCTTTAAAATATAAGTTATAGAGCATCTAATTAATTGCTTAATTTCTCGACTATAAGCTATTTTAAGCGGCCCAAAGCACCCAATATCAAGAAGCTGGAGCAGATAAGATGAATAAGGCGGTATATAAAGCGTAATAATATCATTCTCTTTATAATATTTCTTAAAGTCGATGGAGTAGTAACTTTATACCTATTAAAAATCAAAAGATAATAGCAACTAATTAATCGATTCTTTATATACCGGTTAAAGTACTTAAGCCACTCAAAACCTATCTTATTATCAGTCTAGCTATTTTGAGTCGTTGCAATAGCCCAATTGCCCGGGAGGTTGCTTTCCCGGTACCAGCTGGCGAGGTGATATATTGGCCCGCAACCACGATAAATAGCTAGATTGCCCAGCCTTCCGTATTAATCGCCTGGATAATTATAACTCATTCTCAGTTTCTAAGCTATACTAATTTTGGGTTTCTATACCTTTCTACGCCTATAATAACTATTCTGCTTATAATTATACCTATTATAAAGCCAGTCTTATTAAAGTTATAGATATCAACTAGATTAATACTATATTTTGTAATTATATTCTCTATAAGCTAGAACTAATTATAAATAATAGTTAGATCTTTATATTTAGCCCTTTAATAGTTATATTTATAAAAAAAATATATCTTAAGCTCTAGTTATTGCCTAATAAAGTTAGAAGCCCAGCGCTTGCCAACAGGTAATGCATTGCGGTCAGCAAGCAGTCAATTAGCTATTTCTTCAATACCACGCAGTCGCAGGGGAAATCCTCGCAAATCCAGGTCGAGGATAAATTAAATAATAATCTGTTCCTCTAGATCGGTTAGTCGACGCGAATTGGGAATGGTATTGCGTTGATACTGAATGCCCTTCTATCGGCGACGCAGCCTTTGCTTATCTACTTCGTATATCGATATAGCATATCGGATACTTAGTTTTGGGTTATTTTAAAGAGCTTAAAGGGCAAGAAGGGTTTTAGCTTTATTATCTTGCTAAGGTATATTAAGTTGTTAAGATTTGCTTGATAAAGTAGAAAGTTAGGTGTAGGATGGAAAAGTGCAGCGCTCGCTTGTCTGCGGCGCTCGCTTATCAAGTATGTTATAGCACTACTATACCTTAACCGACTTAAACTAGCAGCTAAATATAGAGTAAAATTACTCAGCATAGACTCTAAGAATATAATAGAGTATTTTAATATATTCTACCAATAAATTAATAGATTTTTATTTGTTGTGGCTTCTATATTTATCTTATAAGTTGTTAACCTCGTCGTCGACTATATGTCTTGCAGCCAATCAGAATTTAGCGGACAAAACAGACCGCATTCGATTTTCGCAGACAGACTAAGCTACTTTAGGAATAGTACAAGTACAAAATGCCCTAGACCTTTTTCAGGATTTATATTACTTTTAAAGCTTATCAGATATCGCTCTATAATAGGACGCCTCTATATATATACAATTAGATTTTACGTCCCTGTTCAAACGCGTATTACATAATAGGACTTTTATTAAGGGGTCGCGCCGGGTTTTATATCTAAGAGGGGCGGCGGACCTCGATAACTTCGGTAACCTCGCCGAAGTTTAAGTTAAGGAAATCGGAGGTATTCGACCACAGCTCATCCAATTATCTTTCCTAACTATCTTTATCACATCATGGACAATCCCCAGTCTAGCACTGGCCCAACGAAACCTAAGCGTGGCCGACCTCGTATATATCCCACACCTGAGGAAAAGACCAATACGGATACAGCGCGGAAACAAGCGAAGCGGCAGGGGGCGGCCTCTATACGACGCGATACAGTATATGCCAGCTTCCTCAACCCGTTTCTCTCTGCCTTGCCTCCACTTCCTATTCAGTTAAGCAGAGGGAATCACCAAGAGTCAGGGGCAGGCGCTGCGTGGGCGAATGTGTTAACTGATATTCATTCTCTGGGCAATCCCACTGGCGTACCAGGACTTGACTATATGGATATCTCGGAATTCCTTCCCCCAGCTAGTCCTCTGCTACTAGAAGAGATAGAAGAGCAAGCTATATTAGATATTGGTATTACTGTAAATGCAATAGATTTTGCAGACGTAGCGGATTCGGTATCTATTCCAAATAATAAGAGTCTTAATCTGAATATTCCCTTTAAGGAGACGTCGGAAACCTCGCTCTAGATACGGAATAACAAGTAAGATCCAGTTAGATGCCTTATATAGGAGTTAATAGAACAACTCACTAAATTTCGAGGATGCTATAATAACTGCTACCAAGAAGCAGAGTGTGAACGATCGGAAGACCCGAATAAACATATCAATCTCGCAATATATCTGGAATTTACACCTAAGCTGGGTCCTAACATCCTTAGCTCTGCAACTATAGCACACTAAAAAGATAACCTAGCTGGAAAGCTCGATACTGCAACTCGAAGAGAGATATTCTGTGGTATCAGCTCCAGAGATGAGATACCTCCTCGTCTTTACTTAAGAGAAGACAATGGAGTTATAAATAATACCAGGGTTTCCTTTGATATAGATAGTATTATAGCCTTCCCAAGTTGCCTTGTAGTTGCCAAGTAGGGCATTTAATAATCTCCTACCCAGATAACTATATCTAATTTTTAATCTGATCTTTACCTCAGTTTAAGGCCGGTTACTTACTTTAATGCAACTAGAATACAATATTAAGTATACTAACCTATCCACCAGATTCCTTACTATACCTTCGGCTATATTATTAGATTGGAGGATATATCTCTATACTTTCTATTTCCCAACCTATATTAAGAGGAGCAGAAATATAGCCGGCTTCAAGATAAAGACTTTTAGCTATAGATAGATGGCATTCTCTTTCCGGCAATATATAAATACTATAGCAGCGCCTATATCCAGTATTATCTATTAAGCTATAATTATAGTTACTATAACTCTACTGCTTATAGAGTAGAAATACTTACTTAGTATATATATCTAGTAGCATAGAAATAACAATTAGTATACTTTCTACTACTAGAGGTACTAGCTGAAGTTTAAGCTAATATCCTCACTACTATTTAAGAACCAGAGTTCTAATAGTTCCAGGATATAACTATCCTCCTTTAAGTAAAGAACCTTAAGGTCCTTATAAAAGATATTATCTAGGAGAAAATAATATCACGCTTTAAGGGGTATTGAGTTAAAGCTATTAACAAGAGCCACATTACGCCAGACTTCTATCTTAATATCGGAAAAGAAACTTACCCTTAATAGGTATTATAAGTTATACCTTGGAGCTAACTGGCAGCTAAGGCTATAAATAATCTAAGAGACAAACAAGCCGAATTGCTGCTATATAGGTAATGCTGCTTAGAGTTATATACCTTCCAGGCCCAGTATAGGTCGGCTAATAAAGCAAGCTAGAAATAAGCCTTTTATCCCTTTAGTATACTTTAAGATACCGGAAGCTTAACTATTAAGACTGGAAAGTATTCTTCATACTATCTTACTGGCCTTCTCTACTCTTAATTCTATCCTAGTATTAAGGAAGTTTTTACAGCAGGGAATATATATCTATTTACAAACACAGCTATTAAGACGCTTACCCTCAATAAGAAGTTAAGAAAGACATAGGAACTTGTTAGAGGTAGTCTTAGCTATCAGCCAGCTGCATTAATTAAGGCATATCTATATATAAAGCTCCAATGCCACTATGCGTTATTGGGATCTATGCAAAAGTCCTTTGGTATCAGAGAAGAGTATTGTGTTTCCAAGGAGCTATTCTACGCAATTAATAGCTAAATGCACTCCCAAGAGCTCCACATTATACACCTTGTTGTATCTACTAATAATAGTTCTCTATACTATAGTTTCACAACCGATACTCTAGTTTAATAGCTACAGTAGAATATCAACAAGTTCTATATCGGGTTCGAGATAGTATATAGCTTTCAGGACCCGCATTTTGTAACTTAAGAGCATACAAGAATCATACTTATATTTCTTCGCTATCTCCAATTCTCTTACTCGGGTGGATTGATATAGAAAGTCGGCGGTTACTGGCAAGATATATAATAGCAACCCGACCTAAGTCAGCTAAACGGACTTCGCCGATATAAAGGTCTCGGGTTTAAACGCATAATGGAGGTATATGGCTATGCTTGGTTTCTTAATAAGATCGACTGGAATACGCTTACTTTCCGGCAACCCTATACGGCCTATATGATGTTTAATAACCTATCCATGCAGACTGTTTATCGCGCTCGGTACCACCAAGTACGAGATGTACGGATTGACTTTATTCGAGTGGATAAGGCTTATCAATGGATGCTCGAGTTTAGTGCCATACCTATATGCCTCGACCTCTTGGAGAATTACCTTCGAGAGCTCTGCTTGTGTGCCTTTCAAAAGGATGTCTTCTTTCATGTTAAGTCAGCTCTAAAGCCAGAGTGTATGGAGGCTGCATTAGCAGGAGACATTCCCCTCTGCTATAATAGTGTTAACAATACCATACTCAAAAATTACCAGCCACTTCAGCTTGCGCAAGGAAATAGGTTGGCAGTGAAGGATATTTATATGTTATTTACTTGGCTTTGGAAATCGAAGGATGACCATTTTAAACGGCAGGGGTGGAATGAGAAGCTATACTGTATGCTATTCCAGCAGAGCTTCCATGCCATCAGGACCGCACGAGGTAAATCTGGCGCACGGAGGTGGCGACAGGAGCTAAAAAGGTTATTTCTTGGAAGCTATTGGATTCTCCCATATCTATATAGCCGGGGATTCATATATAAGGAGAAGGAGGAAAAACAGTTCACATAGTAGCCTAGTTTGCATCAAGGACTTATCAGACACTACGCCAAGTCCCGACAGACTGGAACACTTGCCCATCCACTGCCAGCATCTAATATTGAAAATCATCCTATTAACGGCTGGCAATTAGTAGGTTCTCAGTTTTCCAGGAGCTATATGCTCTATGTTATACAACCCGAACAGGAATTGATTCGAATGCCTGAAAATGAGCTCTATGCCCAGTTGGTTGCTCTTCGGGAGCAAGTATCAGCTGGGCTGCCTCAAAGCCCTTCTATTATACCTATACTGGAATTAGATACCTCTTCCGAGAGTTCTTTTTTTCCAAAGAAATGGTGCTAGATAAGATAAATGAAAGTTGCTAAAACATTTAAGAAATGCGATAAGGTTAATAACTGTATCTGGTTTTTAAAAAAGAGATTAGAGTTATATAAACATCTCTAATATTATTAGCAAAACTAATACAAAAGGCATCAGAACCGCACTACAATCTAACTAGATAGCAACTTGAGTTTAATTTCAGGAAGTGATGAAGCTAAGGCTACTTTAGATGAGGAGGGCCTTGTTGTTATGTGGAAAAAGCAAGTATAAGTAGTGTGTAATATGGAAACTCGAGTCTATAAGCTTATTAAAGAATTTAAATGAAGATATCTATAATAGAAGAAGTCTTATAACTCTATCTTGAGGAAGTTAAATTGCTATTTAGAAAGAGTTGAATAATAGATAAGAAGATAGTAGACCTTATTGAAAACTCTATATAAATTCAAACCGTGCTATTAATAACTAGAGGGTAAACTTATAGAAAACCTAAAGAGGTGAACTTATAGAAGACCTAAAGGGATAAACTTGTAGATATTTTCACTATGAAAATTCCTATAAAGCCAATTTCACAATTAACAACATACAGAAGAGATTATATACAAATAGAATATAGTATCTATTAGAAAATCATAAATAAACTATTAGAAAATTATAAATAAACTCTTTAAAGAGGATATATATATTCCGCCTATAATCTACAGTTAAAAATAGTAACCTAGCAACTCAGTAAAAGTAATATATTAAATAGTAAAATAGAATAATAATATAATTACAGCCCAGTATTTATTATAATTATTATTACTACAGCCCTAGCAATATAAAGCTATTTATTTATATACCCGATGTAACAAGGATACCGAGCCTCACGGCCGACATCCTGTCACATACCCATATCCGGTACAAGGAGGGGTTAGCCCTGCCTTGCCTTGGTACACTAGAATGCTAACCTAGACACGCGGCCCTCTGCAAAACCCAACCGCGCGGCCTACCTCAACGAGCCCGGGGCCAGCCCTCAGGGTTTCGCTGTAGTATCTATATAATCTCGACCTGCCGACTAGAGACTGAAGCAAGGCAAGCTTTAGTCTCTGTCTTAATTGACTACTACCTTACTCTCGCCTGGCTACTTCGTACCTCTTCGTTGACCTCCTTACACCCGAGTACCCATTTATTATATATAAACCATACCAAATAGCCGTTATATCCAATAAGGTAGTCCGTCATATAAAAGCACAGCATATAGCAGATAACAAGACCAAATATATCTATAACATCATTAAGGCCATCCCCGGGATCATCAGTAACCAAGAAGAGTTAAAGCAATAGTCAGTACCGCCCCCAATTACAGCCCCGATATTATAGTTGCTGCCACCTAAGCTAGACGGATTAGGATGTAATAAGTGTCCGTATATGGCCCGTCAGTTGCAACGCATCAAACAGCATTATCGGGTTCATCATAGATGGATAAACCATCGGACACGCAGTCGGCGCACCAAGGAGTCCGCAGCAGCCGACCCGGCGGTGCCATAGAGAACAGGAGTGCAGTATCAGCGGTTTTTCCGGAATCGGGTCGCCAGCAGTTGGTTCGAGGTCGGTCGGAGCATCCCATCAAGCAGCAGAGGGGACAGCCAGAACAACGTCAACCGCAAAGCCGAGTTTATTAAGCGTATTCAGCAAGAAGATAAAGAAGCGTTCGAAAGCGAGGCCAATGCCCGGGTCCAAGATATCAGCGACAAGTGGGGGGCGCAGCGATGGTTGAAACGATGCAGATGGCCTCGGCATTTGGCCAATATCGACAAGATGTGGTTGCGGAAGGAAGTATTGCAGCCGATTGGCGAGAACGAGCCGGTATTGCAGACGATGTGGGAGATTTTCAACTGCATATTGGACAATATATATGTAATCACCAGGCGTTGCAGTCCCGGCACAGCCGAGTTGTTCGAGATGGAGCGGAAAGAGATTCACATCACGCCCAACAAGCCGTTTGAAGGGATTATAGAGCCAGACGCATAGATCCGGTACAAGGGGCATTGACGTACAATGATGTATATTTGGGAGCGATTACAGATATTAGATGGAACGCATGGGGACAGCGACAGCGACAACAGCACAGAGTACAGTACGGACGAAAGTGACGACGAAGATGCCCGTAGCAGCACAAGCGAAGAGAGCCGCAAGCCCGGAAGCCGGCGCGGGAGGAAACGGCCGCCGCACCGCACGACAATACAACAAGACAGGTCGTGGGCCCAGTTTTGCCAAGGAGTTGAGCAGGTTGTGGCCGGGACCGACACCATTGGCCGATATACAGAGTGTCGGTTGGAACGGAGTTGTTTAGACGCCGTCATCCAATTATTCAACCATCCATTAAAGAGCGGGCAGCATTACGAGAGTATCGTCATTAGTGCGTTAGCCGTCATGGGGGTTGAACCCGGACGGCGGATGGATACCGGTTGTGAATTACACCCAAGTATATTCAGCCGTCATCAAGGTAGCCCGGTATTTAGTGTTATACCAGTCCACATTGGAGCGGCAGGATCAGATCGCCCAGTTGCAGCAGGTTGTAGGTAAACGGAGGGCAAAGAAGAAGGCCGACGGGTTGTTCCGCATTATCCGAGGCAAGATGCAGCGGTTCATGACGCGGATATCCGATGACAAGGAAGCAGAGCCGACGCCGATGAATTGGATCATCGATACACGTTCGTACGGGTTGAAGATCCAATTTACGACCCCGGGCGAGGAGACGATCGATTGGCGAGGCGACCAGATTATTCATAAACGCGTGCGATTGGGGATGGGCACGTTATCCGATATGTTGCATAACGTATTGCAGGAGGCGCGGCGTACGTTGGCCGTGTTGACCATGACAGACACCGCCGCAGCCGGGGATGGAGAGGCAGAGCCGGGGCAGAGCGTTGCATAGGTACGGCCGAGCCGTCGAGCAGTTCCGGGAGCAGATATGGATGATTACTCACTTGACGGGCGGACAGGAGACACCTTTGAGTTCAGAGACAAATACCATAAGCTCTAGCCAATTAAAGACTCGATTTACCATAGAGGCCCATGATATTCCTAATTCGGCGATGACCCCCGGTCAAAATCTACGAGCTAAGCGATAACCCCCCGACAAAATATCCGCGGGCTTGATTTAAGCTGCCCCTCTCCTCCACTCAAGCCCTTTATTAAATAAAAGGTTACATAAGTAGAGCGTTGAATTGAATTGACCCCCTCGTGTGGCGGCATAAGACGCGAATTTGCATAAACCTCTGATACACCGATATCCTGGCCTTATTAGTCAGATGACCACAAAACCCCTCCTGAGAAAAGAGGGGGCCGGAGGATCCTACCTAGATCGAGAACAATCATACTTGGGCTCCACATCATTTTGATTCCTATCGGCTTGATCGAATTGATCGTATCGGGTCCAACAAGCAGTTATTCCATATATCTTCGTTATAGGAGAACCCTCGACTACAGCCCGGACTCCCAGCGTTAACTACCTTATAACACCACCTCTCACGTTGTCCTTCGTCTAGTGGCCTCTCATGGCAAGAAAGAAAGCATCTGAGCTTACCTATCCGGGGAGATCGCACCCTACCTTCACCGCCGAAGAAGCCAAAGACCGTGAGCGGCAGCGACAGAGAGATAAGCGTGCGCGTCGAAAGCTCGAAAGAAGCACGAGGCCGGTCCCTCCAGACACAGAAAATGCCAAGAGTGATATTAGCCAGAAAGAGTCCATACTAGGAGATGAATATTACAGTAAGTTTAAGGATTATATTATCTATTTATTCCGACTCCCTATCAGCGAACAAGGTACACTGACATATGCCCGCCTTAATAGACAGACCGTCCGACAAGGCAGCTCTATCTTCCAACCCTCTATCCCCCAATACCGACATCTGGAATGTTAATACGCTGCGCAGAGGACTACAGGATGCTACAGATCCTAGGGAGATCAAGAGCCATTACGCTACTAGCAACGGCTCAGGCCCCGGCGATGCTTGCGCCACCCACTCGTACTCCAGTGAGGAAGATCCACTGAATATTAAGGACGGAGTCGTTCTTGAAGGGGGCGAGTCCGAGACCCTTACCCCTTATATCGACAGACTACATCCAAGCAGCCGCAGCGACCTTTCACCGAGGCCACAGCCCACTACGTACATGCAGCCGCATCCAAAGGGTTCGCCCTCCTCCTCGGCCAGACTGTCTTCTCCAGCCCCACGCCCAGTGACTATATCTCTTTGCACCCTCGCCGTTCCGGACAGCCAGGGCAAATCAAGTGCGAGTATCAGCGCGCAGTCTCCGCGCGGCGACAGTGGCAGTGAAGCACCGGATTCTGGCCGTTCGAGTCCATTGAGCCCCCTCCAAGAAAACTGGCTTCAAGAGCAATCGCTTTTCATTACCGATGACGAAGATAAGGGAGGGAGTTCTTCAGACTGTGGTAGAAGTGACTATACCGCTGACGAGGAAGATGCTCCTTATCGCGAGGACGGCAAGCGACTCCATGCTGAAACTGTCGACAACAGAAAGTATAGCACGGCAGCTGAGTGGGTGCAAGCCCATATGCTAGACGAGCCAGTATGCAACACCTACCTCGACGAGGCCGGGCAAGTAAAGAGAGACGACGGCCTCAGCCTCCAAGAGATGGCCACCTATATTCAAGATCTCGGTGTACCAGATGCCCTAGCAGGCTCGAAACCAACCATCGAGGGCAATCAGCCTTGGGAGGAGGCGCTGAGTGGAGGCGCGGCTCCACCAGTATTGAACATGGCCAAATCTCATCAGCCAGACGAGGAGGTTGCAGCCCAGTTCGACGTCGATGCAGTGCTTGCCGAAGTATCATCGCTCCGAGCATTCCGGGGCTTTCGATTCTCCTACTACCCTCGACCTCAACGAAATCTACAGAAGCCTATTCATATGCGGTTCCACGGCAAGCAACTACACTTATATCGACACATCCATTTTGGAGAGGCTCTTTTCGCGCATGACATCCACATCTACATCGCATTTCCCAGTATGCTACTAATCAATGAGACATTCCTAACAGAAGAACAACATACCCTCTGGATCGACGGTGTTGTCTTGCCATTACTGCGTAGTATATTGCCTCCGACGTCAATGCAGCATTTTCCAGCGACCTGGGCAATTGGTGCTAGCCAAATGCGAGCAAAGCATAATAAACATCGAACTTTGGACATTGGGGGCACCAATCCCATATACTACGCAGTGAATGAGGCCTCGGTGCCAGGTCTATGGGAGGCCATGCTATCGAGGCTTTCAGACCCACGTTTCCACATCTTTCGAGGGATGTTCATTGTTTTCGAGGCGTACGGAACTAAACTCATGTGGACCGACACTTCTTTCTCCACCTTACGCGAAAACGTGCTATCCGCCTTGAATAAGAGTATCGATCGAAGGTATCTTATCCCCGAGAAGACATACTTTAACGTCGGGAAGGAGACTGTCTTAAGGGCCCCTCGAGTTTATTGGTGGAAAACGTGTTGTTTACAGCACTGGCTTGACTCGGCAGATCCTAAAGCTCGTATGGAACGGCATATTCATCCCGTAAGCAGCACTCGAGATGCCGCCTCTGCGAACATGCGCCCACCACAAAAACACTTTCTACAACCTCACGTAGTATATGCCCAGCATTACAATAGCTACAAAGAGCTTTCGGATGCAAGAAAAACCTTCCCCTTTACGAATCGTAACATCGAGAGCATGCTGATCCCCCACAATCTCCTCCAGCTCTGGTCTAAGGCTGGCGGTGCACATTGGCGGACAGCACACATTGATGAGCAGGTTGCCCAAGCAGGAAGGCGTTCGTACTTAAACTCGAAACGGCGTTTAGACCTTACGTTCCGTGGCTCTCGAACCGCAAGTCTAGGGACACGCGAAGAGTACCGGGTCCAGCTGGAAGTATTCGAGATCCTTGACCTGGACACTCAACCCTTCCGCCACACAGAGCCTCGGCCGTACTTTTCCATCCCTACCGCAGAGGCACTGCATTTTCTGCGTTGGGAACTGAACCGTTGGCTTGGAGCGCTGGACTATCTCCTAATGAGCAAAACCTATCTGACACCAGCTTCCAGCGCTATGGGAACTATACTTATAAAGATTATTAAGACTATTAGTAATAATAGTGCTTCTAGTTATATAAGTAACCTACATCGGGGTTCTTATTCCACGAAGCAAGGTATCCAGTGGCTTGGCCTTGGAATCCACCAAACCGTTGAGGAGACCGGGATGACTTGGCTAAGGCATTCTATGTTTGACTGGGAGCAACTACAGTTTCATAAATCTATTAAGAGCCAAATCCGCTTCTTCATACCCGACTCACAGAGGACCTACAAGCAACGTCAACAACAAGTAAAAGCTATTACTAGACTCTATAATAGGATAAGCAATATTGCCAAGAGTCTACAGAAGGACGGCTCGGCAAGCGACAATCATAACCTCAATCGGATTCGGCGAATCTACTTCTTGGCTTTGACCATGGAGATGCTTAACTACGGCAAGAACAAGCAGCCATCGCCTCCACCAAAGGATCTAGAGAGCTACAATTATGGGATCTGTAAGGCTTGGCTTTCTCAATATTACGACGACGACTTCTATATCCCTAGGGATTGGCGGATATGTAACACATGGCGAGAACGCCCAACGTGGGCCCAGCTCATTCAGCAGCTCTTTGACTGGGATGATCAACATCTATATCGGGTTTCTTTCACGCAGCAGCGTTGGGATAGTCTCCAGTACCGCCTAGTAACCCGACATGCGTTCGAGGAACTGTCTCGAGCCTTGGATCTTGATGCTGCAAATGACTGGAGGAGATCACTCGGGACGCATGGATGTCAGTTCTTTTAGATGCTTCCAAAATGTAGCAGCACACGCTTTACAAATCCAACAAAGAGGCCAGACGGAGATGGTATAAGAAAAAATCATATATCTTGGTACTCTGCTAATCACGTCGAGTTGGCGAAATATCGGAAAACACAGGCTCTCCATGCATGGGACTGGGCTAACCAGGGTTTATGGGACTGGCAAGAAGGGTTGGTAGAAGAACATATACCTATCCCCCTCTTTAACAATATCAAAGAGTTTGACTTTAAACCTAAGAAGAGTCATAAAGCTCCGCAGGTCCAGAAGAGTCTAATAAGCAATAATAAGGGAAGTAAGGGCAAGTATGAAGTAGATAAGATTGTTGGAAAACGTGAGCTTAGGTCAAGGTGCATTGAGTATCAGGTGGCATAGGTTGGGTATCCTGATAAGAAGGACTACACCTGGGAGCCAATTTAGCAATTGAAGGCTAATATCCCAAAGATCGTCAAGTCCTACAAGAGAAAACAGAGGGACATTAGAAATAGCCATAAAGCATAATATTATCTAGCTACTAGCTTGATATAACTATACTTAATGGATTTTAAATTCTATCTAACTCTACCTAGAACTTAATAAGAGTTATAAGTTATAAAGGTAGAATACTAAGGATGTTGTTGCATCTAGAGAATGGAAATAACTATATGTGTAAGAAGCTCTTGATTTCTTCCTATCTAATGAGGGTCTTTGTGTCAACGAAGAGAATGATAATAACCTCGGATGACCTCGGACAGCCGAGAGGCTCCGGGTGCCTCGGGGCCTTTAACTTTATCTAGCTATTGACCTGATTGAAAGGAAAACTGGACTGGTGACGAGGCTGACGACGAGGCAGGTGGCGATGGACACCTATGATGATGAAGGAAAAACTTCACTTCCGCAATAGCCGTTGAAATCCGATATCCGGATATGTGACAGATGCTAAGCTATAAAACACATTTAAAGGGAACATTATATCTCTATCTACTTAAGCATGCATATCACCGGGGGGCAACCAGCACGGGCACCCGAGTTATTAGGGGTGCGGATGTGGAATACAATAAACGGGGGGGTGCAGAACATTTTCATCCACGAGGCGATGGTATGTTTTGTGACTATATATCACAAGGGGTTCCGCAAGTCGTCCGAGATCAAGGTAATTCATCGGTTTTTGCCCCGGGAGGTGGGAGAGTTGTTGGTGTGGTATATGTAGTTAGTGTTGCCATTTTGGCAGAACGTGCAGGGAACGATCAAGCAGAAGAGGAGGACGAGTGCGTTTTTATGGGCCGACGAGGTGGTGGGAGAGGATGGAAGAAAGGAGCGGAAGATAAATACGGTGGTGAGCAGTTTTAAGGCGCGGGTTAAGGAGGAGAAGAAGGTGAAGAGAGAGGCAAAGGGCCAGCAGAGAGAAGCAAGGAAGCAGAGGAAAGAAGCAAAGAAGCAGAGGAGGGCGGAGGAGAGCATAAGAATGGGTAGAAGGGGTAGAGCGGCCGGGAGTGAGGAGGGATGGGAGATGGTTAGTGATGAGCGTGAGACGGTGGAGGGTGAAGAAGAGTGGGAAGAGCAAGATGGGCGTGATGGAGACGAGGTGCCAGATATGGAGAGTGAAGACAAAGGGCCAGATGTGGAGGGTGAAGACGAAGGGCCAGACGTGCCCGAGGCAACGCCAAAGCCCGAAGAGGACCAGGAAGAGGAGGCGGCGTTTATGGAGTGGTTTCACGAGCCCAAATGGACAAGTGATCGAGCCCGGCGGGTGTTGCAGCAGTATAGCGCCGAGTATTCCGGGCACGAGTTGAACATTAATCGTTTTAGTACATCAGCGTCGTGGCTATGCGGAAACGGACTAAAGTATCCGAGTGTCATTGCGTGGAGCTTCCCATTCACCGTGAGCGTGCGCTGCTGGCTCTGGCCGGGAATCCAGACGCTTGCAAGCGCCGAGAATGCATCATTGAGAATTCCCTGGGTGATGGGTCCGACAAGGACAAGGATGAACCTCTCTTGACCATGGCTCGTGTCGGGGCCGGGGAACTCGCTCGTGTGCGACAAGGGATATACCTGCATTCGTGTCCTCAGCGACGAGAGGTTTAAAGAGTCCGGTATCATAGATTGGGCATCACCAACTACGCCGACCCTTGCCAAAAAGTCTTCCTTTAGCAGTAGACGGGGCTGATTTGTTATTATGGCATCGAGGAAGGAGCCTTCATGGTTGAGGCCGGCGGCAGAAATCAAGGGCATGAAATCTTCGATATCGGGGGGGGGGGCAGCTTGGCGAAAAGTTGATGCAGGACTGTCATGACGCGGATAAAATCGGTTTTCTGAGCGACGTAGAATATACTTGGCGCTCGTACACTATGAAGCCAGACGTCATACGTGAGATTTGGAGTCTGGCAGGGGCACTGCACCCCGAATGCCTGGCCCCCGGCTGTCGAGCCAGGGCACCGTGCATCATGCTCTCCGGCGAGGTGCTGGTCTACAGACGACCAGCAGAGAGCAACGACGCCAACCTTGGCAACCTCCTCTTGCATGGTAAGGGGGAGAGGAAGGTGTGCCTTGGTTACCAAGGCGTGGAGAGCCCAAAATATCTTCACCATGGCGATCGTCGAGAGGGGCTCACGGAACCCAGGCAAGTGTACCCCGACACCTGTCTGAACGGGATCGTGACAAAAGAACTGGCAGGTGTCCTGCCAGTGTTCGTATAGGTCTGGACGATGTTGCACATCTAGAGAAACAAGATCAGCCAAGGCCACTGCAGACGAGGACTGCCGTGTCCAACATCGGGGGGTTAAGGGAGAGATGCCCGAGTGACAAGGTCCATACCTCTTAAGTCCTTCCATGCTACAACAGGACCGATCTGGGCTGGCCAAAACTCGTTCGGTTGCTGATTCCCATAGAACAGCAACATGAGCTCACGAATCGCGCGTGCCCAGGCGTCAGGGTGGTTGATAGACCATGTATTCGAGCCCACCCGCATTTTATAGTCGTGCACAACCATTTCGACGCTGTCTGTCCCCAAGAGAGAGAGGAGCGTCTCCCAGTGGCAGCATGAGTCCACAAAACCGCCAGAGCCGCCGACAGCCTCGACGATGGTCTCGGTCGGACTCGATCCTTGCATGAGTTCGAAGAGGTGGATTTGCGTGTCGAGTTCGCAACCGTATGGGTGGAATATCTTGAAGTATGCGCCGCCAAGTTCGAAGTTCTGTCGCCGGGGGTCGTTGCATCGGTGCTTCTTGGGGCTGGGCGAATTGCCGAGGAACTCTTCATCAAAGAAGCCGGGTGGGACACGGCGCTTCTGGGCCGGGGTTTTGGACATATGCTTTGGTCAGGAATGCTTATATGGCTGGCAGGGAGGAGTGTCACGGCTAACCATGGAGCGGTTTGTGTTTGGTGTGCGAGGTCTGCAACGCGATCGCGAGAGGAGACGGTCAAAGAAGGTATGGAAGGTGTTGATTGTTGATATGCGGACAAGGAGAGCAGGAGATGTGTCTTCGGTCGAGAGGCTGAAAGGATGAGTCAGCGCGGCTTCAAGTGAATGAGCTTCGAGCGAATGGAGGTTGCGATGTGCAAAGGGAGAGAATCGTGTTGCGGAGAAGAGAGGTGCAGGTGATGCGAGCCTGAGGCGGAGGTGATGACATGATTGAGGCGTGTTGTGCAGGCAGCCGTTGTGAGTGAATGGTCAAAACCCCTTGCGCAAGAAACGTGATAGCTGCGTGGTTGCTTTACCGCAGGCTGCAAAGGGGACCGCAGAGGCTACAGTCTTTAAACTTGTCCAGACGAGCTTCATGTTCAAGATATTCTGACGCTGTCAAATCTCCTCTTTCCGTCTCAAGGAAGCGGCCAGGCTTTTGTATCTTCGTCAGGCAATTGTCGTCACGCCTAGAAGAGTTTCATCTTACGCAGATGCCAGGAAGGCGAGCGATGAATGGGACACGACAGTGATGCAGCTTCTGACTGCCGCATGGCAAGTCGGCCCCAACTCTTCACCTTCAATATCCTTCCTCCCAGATTATGTTACTGAGAAGGTCGAGAAAGGTCTCGTAGTAAGCACGGCCACAACACCCGAAACTCGGCGGCGAGGAGCCACGGCCCCAGCGCACGACTTCTTTTACTTTCAGGATCGCTGGGCTCAAGTGGGAGTGGCTTGGAGTTTTGGTGGTTGCGATTCAGCCCGCGCTATTGATGAAGGAGGCATATCAGCTCCCATGCACATCCCTCCACCCTCTAGCTGCCCTGTTCTGTTACCTAATTCCCATTGCAGAGCTCGAATCCTTGGCAACAGAGTAATTCATTTCGTGACATGCTCGAGGCTGTGTGTGGCGCCGTTGCGAATCTGTTCGGATGGACCCACCTTTTGGCACAGGGCATCGTCTTGTTGACGCAGAGCACGTGACACTCCGGTCAACAGGGCCGCTGTATCTCTGTAATGACTTCTACAGAGACGGAGTTGTGCCTGATGATTTATTCGCTTCTCATTGTATGTTGACTAATGCCGGAAGTGGATGTGGTCATACCGTAACACTGGGTGGTCTTGATGACAAAACAGTGACAGTGGTAGGGCGAGCGTTACTTGCACAGCCGGCTGTGCAGATCTAACGCTGGCCAGTGGTAGGGCTCCCACTGGAACGGCGCCCAGGCGCCGCAATAGAATCGGCGCCCGGGCGCCGCGATAGCGTTTTTATGGGTCAATGCGTCTTCTATTAGCTAGGCACGTCAACGCGTTCAACGCGTTCAACACGTTCAACGTGGTCAAGCACCTTGCATCTCTTTAGTGACAATTCATTAATTATCCCCCCTTCATTCTTAATGCAATCAGGCACGACGAGTGCCTCTCAGCTGTTTCTTATGGCTTCTACTCCTTCTGCTCTTCTTAAAGCTGTGTCTTTTCCCTATGATTATCTTCCTCTAGAAGCTGAATATTAATCTTGCAATAAGCTGGTTATAGCAATTAATACTTGGGCTGTTATATAAGGCTATATGTTTATTATATAAAAGTTAACTATAAAGACTAGCAGCCGGAAAATTATTACTTATATATATGATAAATCTTAGAAGCCTAAGGCTTTAGAAGAAAAGAAAGCTAAGTATAAAATAACAACTCAAGGTACAGGCTGCTCGTTCTCAATCTTAGCTAAGGAGTTACTAGATAAAGCTATATAGTCTTTACACTATCGGCCAGATAGGCAATTCTCAAAGTATAATCATCCTCCAAGTTACTATCTATTAGCTTATCCAGTATATTGCTAATTAGATACTTTAAGTAAAGTAACTCTAGTAGAACTTATATCTGCCGGTATCTCTCTAAGAGATATCTAAATATTTTTATACCAGTAAAATCCAGATTCCTTAGTAACTAGAAAGAATATCTACAATTAAATTGCTAAGATAAAAGATGATATGTATAAGAGCTAAAGCTCTATCTATACTCTTATTAACTAACTGAACTGTAAGGGTTTCTAGAGCTATATCCGGATTAGTAAGAATCAGCAGGTTATAGTAATTTTATTTGCCTATCCTAGTTCTAGTTAATATCTTCAGGCTTACTCTAACCTCTTACTATTTAATTATATATATAAGACTAATAAATATCAGATGCTACTTCTTAATATAGTAGGGGTTGATACTTATTAGTAATTCTTTTATATAGTATTTATATTTCTCAGTAGTAAGTAAGAGGAAGATTATATCTGGGCCTTAGAGTAACTTTAATCTCTTTATAAAGCCTTTAATACCAAGCTTCTATCTATAGTCTTAATAAATTGCTGCCTTGCCTGTATAAATACAGTAGCAATAGTCTTTCTATTAGCAGAATTATTACTTTGCCTTTAGTATATAAATAAAGCAGTTCTAGCTTACTGCCTTCTAATTTTTATATTACAAGAGCATCTAGCTGCAGGCATTATAGTAAAGGTATCTATAAAAAAAGAATCTAAACTGAAGGGCTGAGTAGATTTCTATAACTCTTAGTATTCTATTATACAGTTACCTACTAAAGCTGTTTTTAATAAATATATAGCAGACTTTAAGAAGAAGTATCTTTTAGGTTATATTAAAGAAGTTTTATATATTAAGAAGACTTAGCTTAAACTATATAAAGAAAAACTCATTAAAGCCTAGATGGATCAGTATATATATTTCGGTAATACAGCTACTTTACATATTAAAGATATTTATATGCTACTGAAATTATATTTTAAAATGAATAAGTTTAATCTCTTTGATATATAGAGATTTATTAAATATACAGTAGAAAACTAACTATTAGAACTGCAGTTAATATAAGTAAGATAGTATACTTAAAAGCTAAAAAAGTACTTAAATAGTAACCTATTTAGTGCTTTATACAGCTGGATCTCTTATAAGATAATAAAAAAAATTAAAGAATAGCAGAAGCTATTAGAGAAAACTGATCTATCTATTTCCTCAGTCTATACAGGGGTCTTTACTCAGTTATATAGCCTGCCTTATATTTATAAGATTAAGTTATTATAAGGCTAATATTAAGGCCTTTAGATAGATAACTTCTACTAATACTAGCATCTAGTCTGTAATAGAGTATAGCTACAACTAATTCTTAAGCCAAGTAGAGTTAAGTCTGGAATTTAAAACAGATTAACTATTATACAGTCAAGCACCCAGCAGGAGCTAAGTATATTTAAAAGAATTAAGCCTAAAGCACCAAAATACTCTAGGTGTTATACTATTAGTTATTCAAGGAGATCAAAAGTATGTCCTCTTTTACAGCAAGAGGCACTACTAGAATCTTCTATACTATATTTAGCTGGGCTATCAGCTATACCCCTGGCCCTAGCTGGTTAGTCTCAAGAAGCTAAAGATACCTTATTTAGTTAAGTATAAGATAACTTAGTTAATAAACCTCTAGAACCCTCAATCAGCCAGGCTGACAAGATATTTATCAGTCAGACTTAAAATACTATAATAGTACAAAGTCTACTAGAGCCCTCTATACTATTACCAGTATTATTACCAGAGCCACTAGCATAAAACTTACTATATTATATACCTGAGTTTATATATTAACAATATATTATAATAAGGAATACTTAGTATAAAAAACAGCCTATTAGAAGTATTAAGATAAACTAACTCTATTAAAAGGCAATAAAACTACCCTAATAATATAAAAGAGAGCTATATACTTAGTATCTAGATTATAAGCAGATAGGCTAGTATTATAGATTATCTAGACCTATAAGAGACTGGACTAAGAAAGAGATAATAGTATATATTAATTGGGACTTTACAGAGATTAAATATATTAACACTCAGGTAGCATATCGAATAGGAAATAATAATAAGAAAGCTACCCGACATAATATAAGGGAAATTTAGCAACAGGCCGAAGAGGATATACAGGTTCAAGTAGCATAATATTCGTAATAGTATTTCCCTTTTTAATCATCGACATAATTGTAACACTTATATTCTTATTTGATCCTGAATCATAATACTAAACGCGTTGACGTGCCTAGCCAATGGAAGACGCATTGACCCATAAAAACGCTATCGCGGCGCCCGGGCGCCGATTCTATTGCGGCGCCTGGGCGCCGTTCCAGTGGGAGCCGCGGCAAAGTGGATGTAATAGAGATGGGCCACTTATATGTGGTCCACGTGGATATGCAGTGTAGTTGGTTCGAGCCTTGGGCTCGGATCCTTGAGGTTTTCGAGTGTGTTGCCGCGTGGCATCGGCCGTAGTGATACGTTTGCGCTTTGGAGTTATTGAGGTGGAAGATTCAACGGAGGGTAGGCTCTGGTCATCAGGTACGTCAGAAGCCGTCTCGACTGTTGCGGCTATGGAGGGCTCGCGGTCACTAGGCGTGTGGATGAGGAAGGAGTCCATCGCAAGCAATCAACGGCATAACGGCGTGGATTGAGATGGGTAGCTGGCAAACGGCAGGGCAGAAGGTCCCTAAGTGAATCGGGTAACGAATGACTCTTGATTTCTATCTAAAGGAGCGGAATCGTATGAGACTATATGCTCTGGAATACTACTTCTGCCTGCAAGGCAGCAGCTGTTGCCTACTAGGCAGGATCGTACTGCCTGTTTGCTATAAGTGAGCCACTGGATCTTGACATGAAGTCTGACAATGTCACTCTGAGCGACCTTGATAGTTACCCAGGATCGGAGCGACGGAGACATTGCACAGTAATCCAAGTTGCCCAGACCTAGCTTAAGCAACCGACTCGCCATTCAAGTATCCTCTCTACCCTATGGATCTATCGGGAAGAGAGGCCTTTCAGGACTAGGAGGATGGTCAAGTGTCGTGGCGCCGCCGATTTCCTTACCTGACCATTTTTGACCTCGGAGCCAGGGATGGACATCTTACGAATCTATCGAATCGAACGCCAAGGCTTGGCGTTCGAATCGAATGTGACCCCCGCAGATTCGTATCGAATCGTATGTGCCTCCCGTAGATTCGCATCGAATCGAACGCGCCACAATTCTTGTCCCGTAGATTCGACTTGAATTGAATGTGTCTTCCGTAGATTCGATATCTATCGAATGCCAAGATTCAATCGAACGTAGAACTAATCCCGACGTAAGAGGGGTAGGAGGTGTAGAGGGGGTTTAGAGGACATTACGGCCTCAGGTGAGACGTCGCAGAACATTGTTAATTGTGCAAAAGCAGGTACTAGGCAGATTAAATGTCACTTGTCCCCTTCAGCGACGCAAGTGCGTCAGCCTATTAATCATCACTGAGGCTGAACAGCAGCAGTGAAGGCGTGTAGATTCCAGCTTTACTCTACGATCGAATGCACTGAGCTATCGCCACTATCTCCCTCTGCAGCCGGCTTCTCAATAGTGCCGTCATACGTCCTGCACTGCTAAACGTCCTCTCGCTCTCCACAGACGACGATGGGATGGTGAGTATATCAACCGCTATCGGTGAGGCCAACATAGCGCGTATTCACGCGTATTGTCGACGCGAAAAAAAAAGCCAGGTCGCCAGCTCCGTTGAAATGGCTAAGTCTTGTTCGAATGAAAGAAGCATCCATCAGCAATGCGAAATGATGACCCTTGGTTGGTTCCAACCATTGGTGCTCGAACATTTTCCAGGTATGTGGCGCAACAATAACCCCTACGCTGGCAACCAGTGAAATCCGAGGTTTCGCGCTCAAGTCGCCAGACTCTAACAGACCAGTTCCGTATGTTCCCTGTTCCTCTGGCTCTAAGAGCCCCTATTGGCTTATGTCATCGGCCACAGCCCATAGAGGCGCCAAACGAGAAAAATGGCATCGCTTCTTGTCGCACTGGTCCTTCTCGTTCCATTCTGGCGTCGACTTGGAATGGAGCTCCTGGGCTCGTCGTGTTGCAGATAAGGTGCATGTGACGGGAACGTCCGGAGCGCTGGACCCAGGGTGGGGTCGATACGTAGCTAGGGCGCAGGTCCCCTGTGACAAAGGATGTGCATGAATATTTTGAGTCTGGACAAAGTTGTAGGCTGGTATTGGAGGGCATCACAAATTGAAGATATGAGTTAGACATGAGACTCTAAGCTCGAAATATTCATCTATCGTGCCAAAACTGGCGCTAATAGAAAGCACTCAGCAAGAGAAATTCAGATAGACTAGTTTTGGTTTATATTACTTCCATTCTCCAGAAAATCGGTAACTTATGTCTAGATGATTATAAGTTAGTGAGAGTTAGTTGCTAAGACTGGCCTACCCTATACTGCGGCGGTAGAGGATACCTGAGTACTTACCTAGTCTCCCATAGCTGCCCAAGTACCTCTTAAACAGCACCAGCCCCACCTGGTGGCGATGAGGCTTGCTCTTCAACCTCTTACAAGCATGAAAATAGTCCTTACGGAAATTGGGAAATAGTCTTATCTAGTAGATCACTGTTGAAATTCTACAAAGCAGTTATTTGTAGGTCGCCGTCGAGGATGATTGCTGAAGTTGCAAGGTACCCTACTTTCTATGTAAGTCGCGGGGATTTAGGTGCACTCACTAACAGGAGCCGGTTGACGCGTCAATGTAATCACGCTAACACGAGCCCCTGGCGGATTCCAGCGAACCGCGTCACTCGTTCGACCGAATCGATCGATTTTCGATCGAACAGTTGGAGCCGTTCGATTCGATGGCGAATGAAATGTGCCCCGTTCGATTCGTATGTCGAATGAGATGCGCCACATTCGATTCGAGGTAATCGAATGTCGAATGAGACCCGCCACATTCGATTCGATGCGAATCGAACAGGTCTGTGGCAGATTCGACATCGAATCGAATGCCAAGAAATTCGATTCGGTATTCGTAAGACTTGGCATCGAATGAATCTATCGATTCGATTCCCGTTCGTAAGATGTCCAACCCTGCTCGGAGCAACTTTATCCCGCGTATGATCATACGCACTAGGCCGTATGGTATAGGTGCAAGTTATGGGCAATATATGGGTAATATATGGTTTAACTAAACCATACGCGTATGGTTAGAAAGCCTGGCCTGCACATCATGGCCTTCCTGCCGCCTCCACGTGCTGCCCGGCTTCTCCCTACCATCCGTCTATCCGAGACGAAGGGGGTGCTCGAAAGGAGGCCGCTGCATCTCCGTCTCCATTATCTCTACCAATCAGCCAACTGCTGAGCCAGACCAACGCAGTTGCATGGAGAGAAGACCCTCACTGCCTCGTCACCTAATCTGTTGCCAGGGAGTTGACTCTTTTCATTGGCAAGGCAAAGTCCTCGGCGACTCCAGAGTCAGCCCCGAGACACACCTGTTGTCTACCACATTCCGCAACCACCTACTTAAGATACACTCAGTTGAAGCCGCTGGCTCAGAGCCAAATTCAACTAAGAAAGCGCAAACTAGCCTCATTAAAGAGGCGTTCAATAAAGCTGGCGAGGTTGAGGTTGCTAAGCTTCAAGAAAGAGAGGAGCAAGTGCTTCGGAATGCACTTAATCCAGAGGCTGCAATGGAAGCCTTAGTCCAGCTGGTTACTGTCCGCAATCTTCCATATAATTGCAACACCAGGCCAGAGTTACACGCTCTGCTTATGGCAGCAAACTATACGGCAGAAGAGCTTATCAATACCTCCCACGGCCATGTCCAAAAACTCTGCTCAAACTCATACGCGATCCATAAGGATATTCTTCGAAAAAAGCTGCAATCATCACCTGCTAAGCTTCACCTCTCCGCTGACGTATGGAGCGCACCAAACCATAAAGCTTTCCTTAGAATATGTATGCCATTTATGCAGGAAGGCACGAAAAACCCCTGCCAGCTACTGCTGGCCTTCCCTGAACTTCCTGGCATAGACGGCCTTGGAAGCCACAGCAGATTTGAGCAATGGAAGCTCCTTCAGCCGGTCATTGAGGAGTACGACATCTTACGCCAGCTAGGCTATATTACAGGAGATAACCACGGTTCCAATGACGCGCTCTGTCGTCTATTGAGCCACTTCCTTGAGGGACGAGGCATCGTCTGGAATGCAAAACACGGACGGATTCGTTGCCATGGCCACGTTGTCAACCTTTGCGTCCGAGCCTTTCTTTTCATGGATAGCAAAGAGGCTGTGCTTGAGACTTGCAGGCAAATTGAAGAGATGGACCAAGCTTCATTCAACATGGATATGATGCAGGGTTGGAAGAAGCAAAAGAAGCGTCGCTGGGGTCAACTTGGTCAGCTCGGCAAGTTGTATAATATTGCTATTTATATTAGAGCAAACGATTATAGGTACAACCTCTTTTGGAGGCATACTAGAAAAGTCCTGGGGCTTGACAATAATATATACTGGAACTTATAGTTTCTCCTGTTAGATACCGCTCTTAATAAGGAGGAGTATATCAAGTAGTATCAGGATAAGTACTACGACGTTCTTATAGACGACTACTTAGCACCCTAGGATTGGAAAAACCTCTGCGAGATATAGAACTTCTTATAGCTGTTTTGGAGGATAACTCTTCTTACTGAGGGCTATTGTTTAACGCTTGATTGTATGTTATTTATAATAGATATCTTCCATAAGTACTACTAGCAACTTTTTAATAAATGTAAGATGAACCAACAGCTACTCGGTCTAGTGCTGACAAGCTGGTATATCTTTGACAAATACTACCAGTTCTCTAATGAGAGCCCGGCATATAGTGCAGCGCTTAGTCTCTATCCATCCCGAAAAAAGGCTTATATATAGAAAAATTAGCCAAAGTTATGGCATAAGAAGATCTTTACAGGAGTGAAGAAGTTGCGGGAAGACGAATACAAGAACATATCAACCGTTATACTACTCCTTCCATTATTCCGGCACTGGAACTGGATGAGTATGACCTGCTTGCACAGGAGCTTGATGTCATAGGCACAGAGCCCGACGTTGACGAATATGAAACCTACACCTCCCAGTCACCCATTCCAATCGACTGCTCCCCCTTTGCCTGGTGGCTCCGCGATGAGCAGAAGGAGCGCATTCCTCTATTATTAAAGATAGAATAGACATTCTCTTAATACCCGCCATATCTGCTGACCCTGAGCGTATATTCTCTGGAGCAAGGTGTACAATTTCATGGGATCGAATGCTCTTGAAGCATTGACAATTGAAAAGGGGGAGTGCTTAAAAAGTTGGATTTGCGGCGGCATAACGGAAGGGCTACAAGTAGACGAGGTCGAACAATACGAGTACATGGCAAAGGAGGGAAGCACCAGCGCTCTAGAGGAAGATACGGGCCCTTGACGTCATTCGCCGTATTGGCAATATATGGTTTAGTTTGCCATACGAGAATAAATCATACACCATAAACCATATAGGTTAGTATGGCGTGTGGCGTATGGTTAGGGAGCCTGCTTAAAAGTATTCGATCCTATAGTTCCATTATATATAAGGCTTCCACCACCTGGTGACTATCCTGGCTTGGTACCTGCAGCGTGCTGACCTGAATCTACATATTGCCCTGACCGTCATGTCATAGTGGGGCTCAATATGCGATCCGGTCTCCAAGTACAGTGGCATGTGTTGTAGGATCTCGTCAGTTCAGCCCGAAGGGAGTTCGACTGGCGGGCCTGCATGAGGCGGAACAGTCTGAGGTCGGGACTGGAAAGGTGGTGGACTTTGAGAGTACTGATGTGAACTATTGGAGAATTGCGGTGGGTGATAATGGGAGTAAGACTGGGTTATGGGCCGATGGGATCCATCGGCTATCTTCCGTCGTCGATGTCGTCGGATGAGATAGAAGGCACAAACAAATACGGCATTGAGAACAACAAACCCGCCCACGGCAATGCCTGCGATGGCTCCGATTGACAATCCTTGCTTGGGACCAGAATCCTCCCCTGGAATGGCCCGTGTCGGTTTCCTCGAAGCGGCCGATGCCTTACGTGTCATTAGGGCTTGGAGATCCTGGTGGTCGAAGCCGTCCGTCGGGGCCGTCTTGCTCGCCCCACCCTCCGCCGAGCCGCCAACGACCGAGATAATGTCTGTTGGAACAACGTAGTGCGTCTTGGAAGGATCATATAAGCTCCAAGGCGAGTTATAACTGTTCCTCTTGCCCATGTCGAGGTTATGCAGACCCCACTGGTTTGGGGAGTCACAGTCGTTGTTCAATGGGAAGAAACTACCGTGGATGAGCATCTGGGCCTTGTTGACGAGATTGCAGCTCAAATTATGATGTGGGAAGTCACCCGTTTTGTTGGAATCCGTAGGGTATATTCGAATCCATGTAAAGGTAGGAATTATTAGGACGTAGATGTCGTCGAATCCCGCGTTTCCCTCCGCCTCGCCAGCGCCGCCATAGAGGTAGCTGTAAGATATTAGTGTTCCTGTCCCGGCAAGCTCTGGTCCGAGAGACTTACATATTATAGGATGACTGGTCATCTGGCCAAGTCACTCCTGTGCAGAACTGTCTTTGCGGCTTTGGAATATGCCCAGTCGCGTTTTGGATATAGGACTTTCCGCTCAAGATGTTGTACATCATAATCTCCTCTATTGGCTGTCCCTTTTATGTACTATTGCCAACGTCGCGAATGCCGCCAAAATAGATAATCATGCCTCTATTGCCGGCAGGGATATATACCATCACACCCTCTGCCCGGCCTACTTCGTCTAGATTAGTGGTATTAGTCTACGAGTTCGAGTCTATGTCATACTTAAGCAAATACGAGGTCAGTATTCCAGGTCCACTCCCCCAACTCGCATCAGTAGTATTATTCATCTATCCACCATAGTAATATCCTTCTCCTCAACTTGAAATCAAGAGACCAGCGCCATAGCTCAGACTGTCAATATCGGGAGAACCAGGCGATCCATGGTTAACCCAGTAGTCGTTGATAATATCATATAAATACAGAGAGAATGGCCATGGGGACTCATCGTAGAATTCGCCGCCAAAGAGGTAGATGCGTTTGTTGATATCATCGGGCCACAAGATAGCACCATTGACGTTGGGGATACTCGAATTTTTGCTCAAATTGGCAGACGGGGGGGGCATGCCCGAGCTCGCGTTCTGGCTTAAGTCATGGTAGACGAAGTAGGGATCTGGCTGGGCATGTCAGCTTGGGCAGCTCTTAAGAGTGTATAAGCTCCATCCGCCGTCTATAAATTGCAGCCCTCGATCATATCCGCCAATCATCCAATTCCATAAGGTAAAGAGAAGAGAATTGAGGTTTACGTACTTGTATAGTTCTCTGGTGGTTGTGACGACGGGCTCCAGGTGACCAACCCGCCATCGATGTAGAGCTTATTGTCAACCACGGCAGATTGGTGACCCCATCGCCGACAAAAGTTGCTTATGGGGTCTCGTTGCTGGACTGTAATGCCGATATAGCAGGCCAGTAAAACCAGGATCACCCAAAGCTCGCGATGTTGATTCGTCTGAGACAAGGAGGTCCACATCATGGCTCACAACGGCGGTGCATGCACGCCGTCCCAGCCACTCATCGACTACACGACGCGACGAGGACGAAGACGAAAAGGCGAAGCAGGGTATTTATCATCGTTTGCAGAGTCTCCGGGCTAAAAAGAGCAAAAAGGAGAAAAAGAACACGTACTGGTAGTTGAGGTGGCTGAGGCAGGACGGAACCTGAAGCTGAAAATAGCCTGCGTTCCAGACTGACGACTCACAACGCCCTCCCCGACGATACAGTTGATCGATCCACAGCGTGTAGGCTGTACTGCTAGTCTCTTCTCTCTTCTCTGGCGGCAGCGCCAGTCCCTCAGCCCGCATGCTGCCCGCCATTGGGCGTTGGGCGGCCCCCGTGTTCCTGCTCAGGGCTGCGAAATGAGCCCGTCAGAAGCCAGTCATCCGTGTGATGGGACGGCGACGAGTAGCACGTATCTATCCTATTGGTTGCATGGAGCTGCAGAACTAGTGAACCGGCGCGGGACATGATTCGCGCCAGCTCGTGACCAGGCTTGCGTTTCAGAGCATTGGGTCAAGAGCAAAGAGGCTAGGGTACAAGACCTTGACGGCAAAATTAAGTGCTACCGTATCACTCAGATCGGTGAAGCGCGACTTGGCTCCTCGGGACTTTCCGAGATTGTGCGGGAGCGAGAATCCCGAACACGACAGACCTGCAAGGCAACATCCAGTCATATTTGCCGTGACTGATATGGGTGTCAGCAGTAATGCTAACCCGAAACTTAACCTTGTACCGAAAGACCTGACTAAGATTATGGCATACCAGCTGCTCGTACGGCTGTCTGCTTGCCGAACGCTTGCTGATGCCTCCCGTAACGCTCACCTCTCCGTATTAGCTGACTTCTCAGCTGTATTACCCACCAGAAGTTGTCATGTGGTAAGTGATGCCAAGCTGCCAAGTGGCCACAGGAGACGCATTAGGAGGTTTATATATGATTCAACCTGCTGAACCCGACGTCGCGCAACTACATCCCGTCCATTAGCGAGAACAGTAGCCGAGGCTATAGCGATGATGCCGCCCGGCCCTCCCAGGTGGCGTTCAAGGGCGTTGCGGCTGAGCAGGGCCTGCCCCCGAGGCTATGCCTCCACTCTTACTATTAGGCCGACCTGGAGGTGAGAGTATGTAGCCTCAAGGTCAACGTTCTGCATGTAGTCATCAGTGATCAGCGCGCCAGATCCATACCGTCCCATTAATCGAGGCCGACGCCATAAATATCGAGTCATACAAGAAGGCCACCGACCCTGCCCAGGAGCGCATGCATTGCCTGTATCGGTGCGCCAATATATGAGAAAATCCATATTGTCCAATCATCTGAAGGGGATGCTATAAGCACGGAGTTGTATGAGAAGGCCGCTGAGTTGACCCCGCCGCTATGACTCTTGAGTTCCTGTTGTATTCCATCCCCCATATCGTAACACGCCAGATCCGTACCGTCCACTGACGCCACAGAGTCAAGTCCTGCGAGAAGGTCAGTGAGTTAACCCAGTCACTATAGCCCTTAATCTCCTGTATACAATTGCCCGTATGTTTAACCATCTGCCGGATGCTGCAGAGATACTATGGCAACAGGAAATCAAGTAATTCACATATATAAGGCCAATGAAATGCTTAGAAAAGCCTCAGGAGGCAACTTCCCGCATGGATTGAAAAACCAGATTTGGGTCATAGTAATATTTTGTTTCCCCTATTAAACTGCTGAATTAAACCTAGCACTCTCCACACCTTACCTCAGATTCTCTTTTTATAATCCTTACGCTAAAACTCCCACAATACGAACCATCGCCTTATTTACCCTATTTTTATCTCTGGCACATGTCTCTGTTGATCCCCACATGCCGAACTTGAAATGGAATTTGTTCGGTGTCGCTTATGGGTGTGTGTATGCACATTCCTGTAGCTGCACATCCTCCAACGGGGCGTTTAGAGACGTGGACTGCATGAGAATCATAAAGGTGGTGGGGTATCCGGACAACAACGTCAAGTGCGAAACAGGGTGGAAGTGATTAATATCGAAGGGGGCGTGTCAATGTTGAGACCGTATGACTAAGGTGGTCCGATCTGCTGTGGCTGGGATGTGGATACTATGTAGTGAGCTGTGCTCCTCACCCAGAGATGTAACTTACACCTTTCAATATCACCTGTAGTTAACCTTTTCGTTTCATCAGTCAACGATACACAGCATAAGGTTCGTTGTGGCGGGTCGAATTGAGGGGCCAGACCGATAAAATTCGGCACGTGACATGAATCAGGGCGGCGGAGCCGCGCCAGACTAGGCACCGAGCCTTCTATCCTTTTTAGTGCTGATCCCTGCGCGACAGTGACTCGCGCCGCCCCAAACTCCAAAAGTTGCTGCGCCGGAATTCGCATGCATGGTCATCGGCTTGGAGGAGAATTTGCGGGATGTGGGGAACTCCTTCCACCCCGTTGATATTCCCGGCATTGGTACACTGCCACCCAAGATATCCGAGCCATCCGTTAAGCTGAATTGCCGAGCCTCGCGTAGGGGACGGCTGTTCTCAGCATGTTCGGCAGCCCTCCCCACCTGACGATCTGCAATGCTCTCATTCAGTGGGTCTCGGGATGATTCCATCCATCCAGTGCCGATTCCGTACTCCATTAAACGAGGTCCATCCTGGGGATCGACTGTCTAAACTTAGGGAACCTTGAGGCATTGCCAGGCACGTCAAAGGAACCCTAGCGGGAACCTAAGCGGGATTCCACCCAAGTATAATCACTATCAAGAGTGCCTTTTTACCCAACTCTGAATGGCTGGATAAGAGTTTTCAGGACTTGGAAATGTTATGCTGATCACAGCTTGAATATCTCCACAGCTGCTATGGGAGGGTCCTAAGCATTGCATTATCGCGACTTGTACCCGGATATGGCGTAAAGAGTATAGCTACGTCAGATGAGCCCTGGCACTGCTAAAGGGATACTGCAAATAGTAAACACCACACAATGAGCTTATCTTGGTCTGAGCTGGTTGCAACCCCCTGTGTCTTATCCACTCCGCCGCCGCCACGCACATTTTGGGTGGCCCGTCCCAGGTGAATAAGCCACGCTCACCCCCGACCAGGGGTATTTTATATTTATATCGTAAAAGACGACTCTAACGATCTGAGCTGCGACACTCCAATCAATGCCAGCTGCCAGTGTCGCGCAGCTTAACGTAATAGGCGACAAGGACCAGGGTGACTAGATACGATGCGGAGGGCTGCTGTATAATAGATGAGAGTGCCTGAAAGACCACGGCTAATGCCAAAGCCATTCAGAGGAGGAGTTGACGGGAAACCAGCGCCTTGCGTCTCTAAACGGGAATGAGATGCTACATAACGAATACAGGTTGCCACACTGAAGATAGGCAGCTATTATAATTCCTTGAACTAACGGAGGAGGGGGCGTTCCCACTTGCGCCCGGGAACAGCTGTTCCGATGCGGGTAATCTGCCTTTAAAGTTTGAGATACCGTATGGGCGAAAGGAGAAAAAAACCTGTGGCGTTGGTGGTGTTGGTGGTGGTGGTGATAGAAGTGCATGGTTAGACTGCAGGTGAGATGTTGGTCGGTGGCCGCCTGAGGCTCAGGCGACCAACAATCGACTCGTGGCCGCACACTAGACGAGCTACGATGGAGACGAGTGGGATTAAGGTGTAGGCCTATGGAAGCCGGAGTAAGCAGCACTGGCCTAATGGTACGTCAGAGTTAGCGGCGCACCAGATTGGTCCGCTGGAAAGAACATGATATCTGACGTTATGCTGTGCAGAAGCGGTTGAATAATGGGATCTGGAAGAGGATATATATTGAATAGGCACGCTCCGGCAGCCTTGCGTCATCCCAGTTGCTCGACATACTCCTGCCATGGCTGCTAATCCGCCGAAGCGACTAGGGCAACCGAAACTGCGAACTAGCTGCGATCAATGCGGTGCGGCCAAGGTGAAATACGACCGTGGCCAGCCCGAGTGCGGACGATGTGTCTCTCACGGCAGGGCATGCGTCTATGGGGTTTCACGGAAAATGGGCAAGCGGCCGCGAGTGAAACTTCAACCAAGCTTATATCGGACCCCGGGCGATCAAGCCGGAGCCCACGCCGGAGCCGGAGCCGGCGTTGCAGATATGCGCAAGCTCGATAGTAGTAGTTGCAGCGATGGTATAATTGTAACGCTCGATCCGCTCTCCAATATTACTGACGTAATCACAGCCTGGGATGCCACGGATGAGAATACCAACTGCATAGGCCTGGATGCATTGGACGGCTTATTCAAGAACCTGAACGCATTAGATGGCTTGTTCAACGACATAAACGGCCAACTTATACCCAATTCCCCTTCTCTCCATTTTGGTGAAATAGCCTTTACAGATCATTTCAACAACCACTTATCTCCTAACCTGCAACCCGGGCCATTTCTCACCCCGGAATCGACTGACTGGAGGAGTTACCTACTAACAGAGGCTTCCACGACCCAGCCCACTGCATATCACTCCCCATCCGACGCCAATTCACACTCAGACAGAACTTTAATGCCGCCTGCAGGCATTAGCGGCCACGACTGTCCTCGGGAAGCATACGATATCCTACGAAACCTATCTTTCCCCAATCCCGACAAAATTTACTCTACCCCGTCATTGGGAACAACACCAGCCTCGGCAACAAGCGGCGTTGGCAATTAAGTACCCTTGGACTACATACTACGCCTCAACTCCGAGGCCAGCAAGCGGCTCGGTCCTCTTTTAACCTGCTCTTATGCTTGGTCGCTGCATCTTGCGTTTCTATATACATCAATCATATCCCGGGTCTTACTATGGTACCAGCAAGCGGCTGGCTACACGCAGAGCGCTACATAGAGCCATGCCACGCCAGACTGCTCGCTTAGCATGGGCGGCGCAAAAAGTACAGCTACAACCGCTCCGTATGCGACCGGCCTGGCTGTTGCGCCCGCCAAGATAGCCATCGGGAGTTTCAACATTGACGACCAACGTATACAGACGGCTTTGAAGATCCAGTTGTTATCAGGCGAGATGGGAAGGGCCGGCCGCCTGATTGATCAATTTACTTCACTCAACTCCGGCGGCCAATGTCAGACGGATGAATCCAACCTTGGCAGCATTAATAGACTGTATCAAAGTTTATATGCATAGCTAAGAGGTGAGCATTCAAGGATAGCCAATATAATGAGGCTAAAATTGAGGGAGCTCAACACATGAATAGAGCATAGAGCTAATATGCCTTCCCCCTTGCGTATGTGCACTCCTGGCTTGCACCTTCACCTCCTGCTTCGTATGCACTGCCTCCGTATTCTCAAGTACGGAGCTACGCCACCAACGTCAATCAGTACGTCTCCCGGCTCGGAAGCTTCATTCACTGCAGTCTCATGACGTTTCTTTACTCCTTGAAGTCCCTTTTCGCCTCTTGGAATGAATCTGACGGCGAAGGCTAACGGTCTTATACCTCATCTTGGACAACATCCGGAGTTGGTAATGTTTTGGTTGTATTATGCTAGTAATTAACATGAACGGATATGATTCCTATGAAGCCCGACAGGCCTTTGACCCGGACACTACGCCTACAGTGATTCAGTTGGTATTCCGGTTCCTGCCGGCCTCATAATAGTGCCTGCACGACGGGATTCCCCGCCCTAGTGGCCACCGGTGCAACAGTATTAAGGTTAAATAATAATACGAGTTCTATGTAGGCTTGCTGATATGAGGTGATCTATTATATACTCTGGCTATTCTTGAATCGATTCCACCAGAGTGATCGGAGATGGTTAAAGATTTATGGTTGTATCTCGTGGAATATTAAGTTTTCCGCTGTAGGCATAGTGGGCAATTAATTACTAAAGATGATATAATACGAAACTTTCTCGCTCCGGCGAGCATGGGTTGTGCAACCCTACTAACTACTAGATGGTTGATGACTGACGAGGCGTTCCTCCTGGGTAATTGAAATGACTGAGAGTGTTACTAATAGTCGACAAGATCGTAGATAACGGAGCACCCTTTGGACAGCTCCGTTCTCAGGTGCTCATATACTTGGCAACATTATTGCATCGTTCTATCTCATGCGTAGATGCTTTACAGTTTGTGCACACCGGACAATGGATAATCGCCAATTTAAACTTCCGAGGTGCACAATCTAACGTAAGTTCTCTTAGCTCCTGAGACTCTAATCTGCAAATAATCGGAAAGTTTACCATGATGCAAATCACACACATACCGAGCAACCAAGACAACATATCGGTGTGGGTTGTGGGCTGGCATTTTCACATGTTAACTATTTCCTGTATCGTTAATAGACTTTAAATGCAAGAAAACGATGACTCTTTATTATGCTACGTTAGAAGCGCTCTTTTAGCTGACCTTCTGTAATTAGTCGTGGGCCCGCAGCAGATTTTTCTAGCCTGCCGGCATAAGATTAAGGTTCAATAGTTAGCATTAAGGCTGTAACAAATATAAGTCATGGTAAATATAATTGGATGTTGGCCTTGCAGTTCTGTATTGTTCTGGATTCTCCATAGCACCCCTCAATTAAAATCGATCTGTTGGGGAAATGAAAACGAGCTGTAACCAAGCAGAGAAGCCAATACTGTCACCAGAGGAAATCGTCCCAACGCTCAAAGATATCCGTGACAGGCGGCGAGACCCCAATAGTGTATAACAGAGGAAGAAGTGTTGAGGATAACAGAGTAAGGTTACGTCCTAGTTTTAGTGTGCCGGTTTAATACACAGTAAGTTCGCAATGATCCCTGACCCGTCTAGCTAATGGGCATATGACCAGCCCCGACTTATTGAGTAGTTTTTAGCGGCTGACTGAGTGGGACTGTAAGGATGAGCGGGAGCCTGCCATGTTTCCGAACTCAAGAGTTCGCATTTCTTCGTCGATCCTTCTGGCAATATAACGTTTGCTTGGGAGGCTGGGGGTAACCCAAGCGTTTATAAAGACAGACTCTATTGATACGCACCCAACTCTCAATTCGTACGCACCCCCCCACATTCAGCCACAATGCCTCCGACATCGCCCCGTGACTAGTCCTAACTTAATTGCAGCTACCTTTGGTGCTTAGGCAGTATTGAACTACTGTTGGATAGCGTACGACACATTCGATCCAGGGATTAATGCTCAATAGGGTGTGGATCCTGAATCTGTTGATTGTCTTGTCTAGGATGCCTCCGGCCCCCTCTTTTCTCAAGAGGCGTTTTATGTCATCTGACACCCCCTCTGACTAAGGTCAGGATATCGAACTATCAGAGGTTTCGTAATACAGAGTCACAATCCAACAACTACCTTAATTGTTAAATTCCTCCCCGGGTAACTTCCTAATCCGTTGCAACAGTAATGCTATCCCCAACCTTTTCTTTTCCCGTTTCCTTTGCAGGCGACGACTCCGTTATTTCCGGGTTTTCTTCCACTTCAAGAGCAATATGCCGCTCAATTGGCTCATTCGGATCTTCCTGTCTCTTTGCCTGTTGACGAGCAGCTTGAGTTGTTACTGAAACAGCAACTTTACTCCGTTTTCGCCGAGGTTGTTGGTCATGTAAGTCAGCTGCATCTTCCTCGTCAAGAGTTGGTCCTAGTTCGAACTGGGAGTAATTTCGACGCGCTGACCTCTGCACGCCACTTCGTGTTGAGCCTTGAGGGGCAAATTCTTGTTCTGGGATTGCACGTTCGTTGCCAAATGGTTCGCTATTTCGTGGTCGACCCTTAGGTATCCCCATCGGAGGACGTTTTATTTGAAGAAGAGGATCGTCAATGTCTCGTGATCGTTTGATATGCCAAAATGGATCCAAGTCTTCCTTCTTTAGTGGTTCGTCTTGAAGACCCAACTCCAAGAGCCTGTGAGCACAAGGCAAGCCATACTGAGTTTTCGTAGAGCCTGTACAAGGTGGCAACATCTTCTTGGAGACCTCGCTTGATTCCATAAGCCTGTGGATCTCGTCCAGCTGGTCTAATGCCCAACGAGTGACAGTTAAGGGCAACTGGCCAAGCCATTCTCTTCCCGAGAACTGGTTCCGAATAGTGGTGTTTGCCCGGGGTATTTTGTCTTTATACAGCTGGCGTTTATCGTCTGTCTGACTAGCCGTTGCTGCTTCAACATCAGGGAGGTCAGACCGAAGGGATAGGTGGTAGGTCTTTAGAGAATGATGGTTTGATTCGGCGGGTGCTGTAGTAATCAATCCGAAGTTTCGATAATAGCGAGTATAGCAGCAAGCCCATTCTCTCTTCAAGGGCAAGTATGTATCCTTGAGATATCTAAGAATTCGCTCCTGGTGTGGAAAGGTCTGTTGAATTTGCCTCCAAGCTTGATTGAAGTCTTCTTCCGATCTGGTATATACCATATATCTCCAGAGGAGGTACAGACCGGCACGAGTATTTAATACTCGTTTGGGAAGAGGACCAAGCTTTGCATTCTTCATGTCTTTGACCTTGGTATTCCCACGCTCCAGCTCTTGGACATCAGCTGCGTCTGCATTGTCTTGATCATCGTCCAGATCAGAGTCCAGTGAGTCGTTGGCTTTCTTCCACCACTTCTTGATGTATAAGACCACGTTGCTGTTGATATGGAAGACGCACAGCTGAAGTTGCGTATTGGGAAAGATTTGCCGGATTGCATTACGCAATTGATCGTCCTTATCTGTGATAACGACCTCTGGGGGACTGATGACGCCTGCTCGTTGGAATCTAGATACCTGCTTGAGAAACCACTCAAAACTAGCAACTTGCTCGTTATTGAGTAGACCATAACAGATAGGCATAGATTTCTTCTCTGAGGATACGGCTACAACAGTAACCAAAGGCATTTTATAGCAGTTGGTACTATACCGGTATGTAGCATCGATCTGGAGACATGACGAGAATTGTTGCCACATTTTGCCACCTTTGTGATATCCCCAAGCGGCATTTCGAAAGCGGAATTCGTCCCCAATCCAGTCTAGCCCCCATATCCAGACTTTCTTCGACTCAGAGAGCGTCCGTACAAAGGGGTTGGCAGGGCCGTAGCCCTGACGTTTGGTCTGGTTGACTTTCCATCGCCAGTTGTAAATATCGGTTCTGCGAATAGGAATGTTTGGCCACTTTTGACAGAGTTGCTTATGAACGGATCGACAGGAAATCGTCTTGTCAAGACAGAGATCTACCAGAAGATTCATTTGTTCCTCTGTTAACCTTCTCCAATGGTAGTGCTCGGTAAGATTTTTCGATCGGTCGTGATCTCGATGAAGAGGACTGACAATTCTCATGGACCATTCGTAATTGTTGGTCTGGAGAGATTTAACGATAATCTTGAACGGGCAGTTGGCGGCCAACTTTGTTGTAGTCGTATCCGGTATTTTGGCAGTGGATTCCCTTGGATTGTACCGACTCTTATCACAGACAAGCTCATATTTTATCGTTCTTGTCTTCGCCTTATCCTCTTGGCTTCGTAACGTAATGAGACCCATCCGATTCTCAATACAGAACTCCTTTAGGGCATCAAAGAGTCCGTCAGAAGACTCATAGGTTGTTGTCAGAAGTGGAGAGTCCGAGGGAAAGACTACCTCCCAAGGTTGACCGTCCCAGTCGTCAGGGCCGTGGAAATCGTCACCGTCATCGGAATCGCTACATTCATCTGCTGATTCGACTGGTAGCGCTTCACGGGGTTCAGGAAGCCCTGGAGGGAGCGCCGGAGGCGGCATCGGAAAGGCCATGGCGATAGCTTATTGTTAGGTCACACAATGATGCTGGGTGAAGCTGTTGTACTCCATCTACTTCTTGTTCTTTTGCTATTCTCCTTTGAACGGGATTCTAATGCTCTATATAGTTAGTCTCTTTGAACAAAGTGTAGAGGTCAGAGATCTAGGACTTCTGAGTCCTACAAAGTCCTACCATCTAGGACTTGGCCCTATAAGGACTACTGGAGCACCTGCAGCCAGCTGGCAATTGATTATCTTCTCAACATTGCTTAATTCGTTGTTGTTAACAGTCGCGAAAATACTGCACACGAGATATCATTGTCGGCGAATTGCAAGGTTGGCGACATCGGGAGGCATTGTGGCTAGTATGTGGCTGAATGTGGGGGGTGGGGTGGGTACGAATTGAGAGTTGGGTGCGTATCAATAGAGTCTGTCTTTATATTAGTCTCTATTCTGAGAACTCCCTGGCCTACTCCGGCTTCTTCGCATACACCACGTAACTGCAAACATTAGCATAGGTAAGAAGACGTGGGGAAAATACGGCTTACATTGGCCAATAACCGTGGATCTTGGGGTCTTTAAGTTCTTTCCGCACGTTCACCAGGAACACCTCAACTTCTAGCCTGGACCACCCTAGAACACGGGTGAAGAGCGCCATGCTGAAGCCCTCTAGAGATGGCATCACGTTCTCCAGGTTCCATATTCCTGTCATTTCCATCAGCATGTGACTCTCTTAAGGCTAGATCGGTCCAGTTGAAGCAGAGCCCATCACGGAAGTTGCAAGGTTCATGATGCCGCCAAGAAATTCCATACCTAGTTCCTTGAGCTTCTTGTCCTTTGGCCAGTGGTTCGTCGGCCATTTGTATACGGTTTCGACGATGTCAGTGAAGCCGACGTCTGCGAGCTGCGACTTGTAGGACTCTGCGCTGTTTATAGGACGTGCAGCTTTGATTGTAGCATCCAGCTGGATAGTGGACCACTTTTTTAACGCCGAGTCCTCTGGCCATGTATCATCGTCGACTTTGACAGGAAACACGATATCCGCCAGTTCTATCCAGCCACCTGGATTGAGGTTTCTATGAAACGGGAAGTGTTAGCAGATATGCCGAGCCTTATTGATGATTCCTTGGCACTCTTACTCATAAGCTTGCTCGAAGAATCGCGGCCAGTCCGAGAATGAAGTGGTCATCATGCGGCTGTAGATGAAGTCAAATTTGTAAGCAAACGTCCAGGGCTCATCTAAGTCATCAATCTGGAAGGTGAGATTCGGCGGGACAAAAGACGGCTGAATAGGGCTCAGATCTATGCCAATGATATGTGCCTCGGGATGCTCGTCTGCAAAATCAATTGCCCAAATTCCAGTTCCGGTTCCGACGTCCAGAACCCGCTGGACTTGCTTCGTCGTGCCGGCGGGGCAAGTGTACAGCTTGTCCCCAAATGTCAGCATGAACAAGTGATGCTGCAGATCTAGGCGGTCATTCTCCTGCTCGTCGTTCGGGCTGAGATATTTTCCGTCCTTGTATGCATGGTACGTCCTCCCATTTTCCTCTCGATAATTTATTATGCTGGAGCGAATGGAGGAGGTGGACGAGACGGTGTGGCCTATGCTAAGAGTCGAATCTCCATCATCGATCTGGTTGGTCTCTTGGTCGGCCTCTATCGGATGGGGTTCCGCCATTTTGTGTTGGCGGCACAGCCACTAGACAGGCAAAGCCGGTTGCGGTTTTTAGGAATGGGGAGAAATCGACGAAGAGCGAACGATGAAAATCATCGACAGCCCACACCTTAAGTGTTATAGTCAAGGATAAGCAAGAAGGGTGTGGGGCAGCCGAACAACTGTATGGATCAGCTGCAAGCTCGAAGCAATGGCTACGCAGTATCTGCCACTATATTCCGCGTCTCACAGGGGTTTAGGTGGGAGGCCTCGGCAGGAATCGCTTCCCAAACATCTCCCGTCCGTTCACACACACACACACACAATTTATTACGCCCGGTGGCTTACAACCAATAGGGCACTAGTTGCTATTGTACATATCCGTTTCCCATGCTTTGTCATAATCTCGTAAAAGCCCATGCAGCATCCAATTTCTGCTAATGCATCTTCGTTTTCAATCTTTCTGCGGGTCCCGTGGGGTTTGTATTATTAGCAAGCGAACTTGAAGGCTATTCTCCAAGTGTTCAGGGTCCTATCTACGGCGGCTGAAGCGGTGCCTGCTGTCCATGGCACGAGGTGTTTGGTGAATGTAGGGTAGGTTAGTAAGAAAGTAAGTGAGGTTTTGCAATCTGGTTTCAACCCTGCGTGTTGTCGAGTCGCCCTGTGGCTATCGCAAATCGTATAGTTGCGCGGACTGCTTCCATATTTGGCGTCCATTTTGCGTTGTCTGACGGTGACTTTCCTCCTAGGAAGAACGAGATATTTCCTCTCTGTGTTTCGGTGCATTGCAACATTACGGCTCGGTGCGCTGTCCATTTACTGCATCGGAAGAGAAAATGCTCGACCGTCTCTGTCGCTTGTCCACATGCGCATTGCTGTGATGCTACTGCTGTGATCCGAAAGAGGTATCCATTCAATCTAGCCATGCCTGTCCTGAGCTGCGCCAGCACGCTGGCTTCTCTCCATGATAAGCTATCGTATAGTTGTCGAGTGTGCTTACCTGGTAGTGCAGCATCAACTCTCTTCGAAAACTTTCCGATATTGTCTGGTAGGTGTTTGCTAGTACACTGGCTCAATCGAGCCACGTTAAGGGTCGTCGATCGCATTCTGGGAAACTTCAGAGCCGGGATGGCACCGTCTCGGGTTGCATCCCGCGCCTCTCTTTTAGCAGTCTTCAGGAGTTTGTGTTCAGCACTGGTGGGCATCCATATGGCAGTCACCGAGTTTCCATTGGCCCTCAACGTATCGATGGAATCGTATATGCATCCAACATACTCTTGACCAGATTGTTGGCGGGGATTTCGGATCGTGAGCACGGCAGCTTTGTTGCTCGTTAACAGTGCCACGCTTCGGTATCTCAGGTCAGGTAAATGCCTCAATGCGTATGCCATCGCCGCCAGCTCCGCAGAAAACGGGTTCTGTTCCGTTCTCATGCCAAGTGTAAAGGAAAATCGTTCCAGTCTCGGCCCTCCCCGCACCGACACAGGGATCTCGATGACCCCGCCGACTCCTACTACACCGTTCCGTGCTGAACTGCTTACAGCAACCCGTATTGCCCAGCCCAGGTCTGCTTGTCTCGTCTCTGTCTCGTCCTTGTCGGCAACAATAGTTTGTACTCGTTCTGCCCAAGGTGCCAGTGTGAATGGATTAACTGTTTCTAACTCCTCCATCGGTATCTCATTGAGCGCCACTGCCAGCTCGTGGAATGGCGAGCGGTTGTATCTTCTGAACTTTCGGATTCGAGATGTAGCGTTGCAGAGTGGGTTGGTTGTTGGCAGGGTGTGGAGGTCAATCCACATCTTGATCGCCCGCCTCCAGAAACGCTCCTGTGCACTGACGATATGCGCCTCTGCTTCTGCTACGCTTGTTGCCACCGTGAGGAATGTTCCCACGATTGCTTGTGCCCCAATCCTCTGGACTCGGTTGATAGGGCTGGCCCTTCTGTACTTGCATGCGTGCATCCAGACGTTTGAGGCATAATCCATCACAGGGGCCACCATGGCTGTAAACAGTTGTCTTGCTGTTGCTGGGGTAAGACCCCTGAGCCGCTGCAGCTCCATGGCCGCTTCTAAGCCCTTGGTCGCTGCCCGTGCGATGTGTTCTTTATATTTCAGACCCGAGTCCATGATCATTCCGAGAACTTTGACTTGGGTTTTGGGTCGGACAAGCCGCCCCTTGATCGCGAAGGGCTCTGAATCAGACTTGTACGCCTTGCGGGTGAAGTGAATGATCGCTGTCTTTTCTGCCTCGAAGGTTGCGCCACTTCTCCTCTCCCAGTCCAGCGCTTTCTCGATGATCGCTTCAATCCCATCGCGGTTGGCTTCCGCCGTTGGGCCCGTGACCCACGCCGTGAAGTCATCCACGAAGGCTACCGCTCCTCCATAACAATCAATTCGCCGCTGTACGAGGTCTGCGTTGAAGAATAAGAACAGAATCGGAGACAGAGGGGACCCTTGCGGCAGACCAGCTTGTGGCAAGCTTCGCACCTCCGATGCCTGTCCGTTGACCCGAATGGTCGCTGTGCGATTCGAGCAAAAGGCCTCAATCCAGCGAAGCAGCTCCTCCGGAATGCCCCTTGCTCTTAATCGTTGGATGAGTCTCTCTTTGAACACTCCATTGTACGCCCCTTTGACGTCGAAACTCACGAGGCTAAGGATTCGCCGGCCTCGCCAGGCCGCGTAGATTTGCTCTTGCAGCAATATCAACGCTTGCTCAGCGGACCGCTGTTTACGGGCTCCAAAGTGGTTTGTTGGTAACAATCCATGTGTCTCGACGGCATGTGAGATCCTTTCAGCGATGACCGACTCCAGTACTTTGCCCAGCGTGGATAGAAGCGATATAGGCCTCCACGCCTTTGCAATCGAATAATCTCCTTTGTCTGGCTTCTTGAGAGGAATAATGTTGGCATGCCTCCACTGATCAGGCAGTACTCCTTCTTCCAGCGACGCCCGAAATAATGATAAGACTCGTTGCTTAACAACTGGCCAAATCTGTTTCCAGACCATAGCGGGTAGTCCGTCTTCACCGGGTGCCTTCCACGACCTTGTCGCGAAGAGCTGTCGTTCTACCTCTTCCATAGTGATGCCCGGCATGGCGATGGCAGCTCCACGTTGTGGTCTGTCACCTTCCTCCTCTACATTCGGACCTGAAAGTGGATGTAATGGAGTGGATTTAGGTGGATTTAGGTACAGTGGGATATTCCCTGAGCTTGCACGGCCTATAGTACTTATTTTTGTATATAATTGCCTAGTAAATCGAGGTACCGAGACCCAAGTTAGCCAAGGTCGATCCCCCCCCAGCTAATCTTATAAACGTCATACGAGAAACTGCCCCTATTGAGGCGTTTTTAACAGATTTCCTGCTGTTGTTTTTGCAAGAGATGATTTTTTTGACGATGTCAGCCAACCAGCCAGGCCAACAGCACCACCTCGAAGACCGGCTTTTTTGCCATTTCAGAGGCTGGACTTGGTCAGAACGCGCTCGTAATACTAGCTCTTGGCTGTGGGGCTTTGGCTATGATATTCAACGTCATGGCTTACGCAAATAGGCTTGCAAGGACTGTATCCTCGGAAATCGTCCTATTATCGCGAGTTTTACCTCTTCAGGTCTTCAGAACGCAGCAAATTATCTATAGCATAAGCATAAAATACCAGCACCAGAGGGAGAGAAAAAGAGCATAGTATAGCTAAAATCTAAAGGCATATTAAAATCGAATTAGCTAACTATTACTTCTATTTTGAAACTGGATATTAATAAGCCTATAAAATAGAATATTATAAATAGCTTTATCTTATACTTTAATAAATAATACTTTTAGTATATACTAGTTAAATTAATTATTAGTAGTAACTAATTCTTTTTCTTTACTAAGAATTTTATCCTCTAAGAAATCTTTAACTATTTAAATCCCTTTATTTTAATTTAATGCACTAACTTAAGTATTATAGCTATTTAATATAAGATTATTTAAGAATATAACTACTATAAGTAGAAGGTTATTAAGATACTAAGAAACTCCTCTAAAATACTTTATTTCTTATTTAATAGCTAAATATCTCAAAATAAGCTTGTCCTCTATAGTATTGCTTATTTTTTTAGAGATAGAAAGAATTGGCTATATAAAATTATAATTAGGGTTTTAGAGGCTTACTATTATTTTAGCTTAACAATTAGTAGGGAGGTTCTTAATATTCTATATACTCTTAGTATAGATTTAAAGAAGGTTAGCTATTTTACGCTTAATAATACTAAAAATAATAATACTATAATAGAGGTTATTAGTATTGAACTTGAGTTTGATAGCTAACTGCACTAAGGATGCTATATTAGCTATATAATTAACTTATTAGCTAAGGTGCTCTTATTTAGTAAAAATACTAATATATTTAAGAAGTAATTATTAGGCGTAGAAGTATTATATAATATTGAATATACTTAATAGCGTAAAAAAGAACCAGTTAGTAAGTTATATAATATTGTAGTTAATATATATATTAGCTATTAGCTAATTTACTTATTTAAGAAGGTCTAGAGGGTAAGCAGTTTAACTAAATCCTATTTATCTTATATTAACTCGGTATATTTAACAGGATAAATTTAATTATACCACCACCCTTAAACTCCAATTAAAGAAACTACTTAAGCTAATTATCAATAATAATACATATTAGCTATTATAACTCTATATAATCTGCAGGGCTCTATAGTTAAAAACCTCTATTAAACTCCTACTAATTAAGTATAAGATATAATAGGAGGATAAAAATTAGTTTAAAAGATTAGTAAAGTGATATAAGCTAAGTTAGCAAGAAAACTACATATCCTCCAAGATAAAAATCAGCTAATAGATAAAAACTAGAAGATTCTTTACTATTTAAAGGCTATTCTAATTATTTTTAAGACTGTAGTAAAGATACTTAAGGGTGATAGATATATTCAAAGGTATATATAAGGCTGAACTGGCTTCTATAGCAATATCTAGAATATAGTACTTAGCTATAAGTTGCTGCTTAATATACTAGAAGAATATAAGTAACTTGCTACTAACTTTCCTAATTTAGAGTACTTCTATATTAGAATTAATCTTGCTTAGGATAAGCTAGATAAATATTATCAGCAGCTAGACAAGATACCCATCTACTATATAGCTATAGCACTCTATCTATCTTATTATTAGAACTGGTTTGATAAAATATAGGCCTATAAGCTTAGTTAGGTTAAAAAGATAAAAGAGATAGTTGCCGACGTCTAGCTATTCAATTACGCTTACCTCGAGGTTAGAACTAGCAGTAGCAGAGGCAATAACAAGCCCCCGGCAAAAAGGCCTCAGTTTATTAACCCCTTTAAGAAGAATAGTTATCTGCCGAATATAAAACCAGCCTACGCAGTAACTATTGTTGGTGACGAGTACTAAGCGTAGCAGACGGATTGTAAGGCCAGAGATAGCAACATTTGTAATTTAATTGGTTACTGGATCACTAAGTAACGCAAATATCCTTGATTATCCAGGATGGCCTTAGACTTCCTAACGATCTAGCCGATATCAGCCGAGTGTGAGAGGTTATTTTTAGCTGCTAGCAAGATAGTCTCAGGGCTATATATGAATCTAGATGCTGATATTATTATTATTTATTAGGTTTTACGCTCTTAGTACTGTGCTGGCCTTATTAAAGACCTGGATCTATTACTTAACTTATATCTTAAAAGTAAGCTAGATGCCAGCTATATAGCTCTAAGCGACGACGAGCTGGTACTTGCTGAGTTAAAATAGCTATAGGAGGGCGAGGACAGCACCAGCGAGGTTAACAATTCATCACAGCAGCAATAGGCTGAAGAGTTAATATCAACCTCTAAAAGTAAGGCTAAATAGGCACCGACGATATTATAAATAGCCTTAAAAATCCAATTACAAATCCACTTATAAATCCACGTATATATACCCATTCCACTCCGGTCGAATATATACTACATCCACTACGTAATTGCTAAAAAATCGTACATCCACTCTACTTAGTCCCAAAGTGGAGTGGATGTAGTGGTTCCGACCCTTGGCCACGGGTACGACGGATAGCTGTCTCGCGCCAGCCATTCCGTTGGGGAACTGGAGAGTGGACGGCCGGGCGATTCGTATGTCGAGCCTTCGCCTTCTGGGCGTCCCATCCGGCAGGGGTTGAGCGCCATGGTGTCAACTAGGTACTACATTTCACTCTGCGACGCCGAACCAACCACCACCTGAAGGCCGGCCAAGGGCAGTGACTCGGCGGCGGAGTTTCCCGCGAGAAATATCGCTATCCTTCCTGCCGGAGGCTATATGAACGCCCGGCGAGGCGTACCATGCTGTCCTCTCTGATAACATTCCTCTCCCCTGTCCTTCCCGTCGCCTCCTCGCCATGACCGCCATCGCCACCGGACTGTGGTGGGACCACTCGCGGCCGGCCATCCAGGCCGCGACTCTGACCCTGCCCGCGGATCTCGGCAACGTCCTGCTCGGGGGCCTCACCTTGCTAGTGACCGTCGCCGGCGCCAGCTTCTGGAACATCGCCGCCTTCGTACTCCACGGCCTGCGCGTGCGGGAGGGCGGCAGACCCGTCAGCGTTTTGTCTCTGCAGCACCGGGTCGCCCTGCGCAACTCGTCCGGCCCTGTCGGCACGGCGTGGGAGGCCGTCAAGATGTATCTGGCTTGGCACAACCTGCGGCCGCCCCGGCTTTTGGTCCGGACCCTGGCCGTGGTGGTCCCGGCGCTGATCATCCAGGCGGGCTTCGCAGCGGCGGCCGTGCTCGTCTCGCGGGTGGCCAGCCGGGCGAATGGGTTTGTCGTCGCGAGGGTGCGGCCCGAGAACTGCGGCTTTTGGCACTTCAACGCGAGTGACATTGACGGCATGACGGCGGGATGGATCAAGATGGCCAACGACACGATCTTGGCGCGGACGTATGTTAGCAACTACTACGCCAACACGACGACCTCGTCGATGGCAAGGTCGATCTTTGTCCAGCGCACGCTGCCGTACACCACCAACCCGGCGGCGCCGTGCCCTATACCGGCGGCCGAGAGGTGCACCCTGGGTCCCAACGCGGCCTTTAGAATGACGACGGCGATACTGGACAGTCAAGAGATGCTGGGGATAAACGCCCGGGCGCAGGACCGCGTCAGCGTGCAAATCAGCGCGACATGCTCGCCGGTGAACCTCCGGGGCCTGTGCCGGACCACCGACAGACACTTGGTAGTCACCTTTGGGGGGTTGGCCAGCGCCGAGGACAATGTCACGTATCTCTACTACCGCGCGACGCCACGCACGAACGTCGGCTACATGTTGGTGTAGGTTGGACCGGATCCGTTGCTTCTCTCTTGTCGACGTAGTGCGTGCTGCTAACAGCTGGAGGTTTCAGACCTCGGGTCGCATACGCCGGGGAGTCGCGTGGCTGGAATCCGATCCCCGAATTCAACCGGACCGACGCCGACGTGAGCGTCTTCTTTCTCAGCCAGAACGCCGTCGCGTACCTGGAACCCGTGTACGACCCCTTCTTCTCCGCCCACAGCACCTACAATGACGCCTCGTCCGGGCAGACCCTCGCCCGGCCCGACGTCAGCGTCAACGCCATGATCTGCACCGAGCAGTACGTCGTGTGCAACCCGTCGACGTCGTCGTGCACTCCCCCAGGCGGCTGGTATCATCTGAGCGACGCCGTCTTCGCCAAGAATACGCCGGGCTTCAACACGGCGCAGCGCAACACCGCCGGGCGTATTGTCACGGCATTGGCCCAGTCCGACATATACACTAGCGTCGCGGGCGTCGGCGCGGGCGCGCTGTGGGCCAACAACGTCGCCGCCATGAACATCTCTCCCGGGCTGCCGAGCAATCAGTGGCAAATAGAGGTACAGGGCTGGTTCCAGACGAGCCTCGCCAAGTTGCAGGCCTACATGGTCGAATATGCGTCAAACACGGCGGGGCTGGGCCCATTTGGGAGGATCGATTTGCAATACGGCAATCGGATGAACGTTAGCGACAGCGAGGGTGACGCAGCCCTGCGGGCACAGTGCGAGAACCAGCTGGTACGCACGACTGGCGACGTGACGAACTTTAGTTTTTGGGGCGTCATGATCATCGCGTGTATCAGCGCGTTTCTGGTGGCGCTGGACTTCGCGCTGGGGAGGATTATGAATTTATTGACTCGGTACCTGCGGTTCGGATCGGCGGCCGAGACGGCTCGACAGGCGGATGGCAATCTGCACCTTCTGAGGAGGGCGTTGGGGAGTCCCGACGAGGATGGCGGTAGGAACGGGTGGATGCGGGGGAGGTGGGACGTCCCTTTACTGGATGGCGATGTGAGCTTGACGAACTTGCTGCTCGACGGCCCGAACTAGACGGGCCGCCAGCCCTTTACTGCTACAAGTCCAGTTTCTCCAGGGCTTTAAAGCATTGCACGTTATGCCTCATCGCCAGCAACCTGGTAGTGGGGGCCACTTCGGTCATGCGAAACTTGGGACGGATCTAGGATCGATCATGACCACGCGAGTTGAGAAGGCAGATTCGACTATTACGTTATTTATATCCAGGAAGTTAATCTTCTAGTCGCTGTTGGGGAGTGGTATGCATTGAGGAACGAAGTGCCTTGAGAAGGTCACGTGCTAGCCACTAGATCAGCTGGTGTGTGAATGAAATTTATTCCGCCCGGGAGGGCTAACCTCATAGGGCCAGGTGCGCTAGGCTATTTACAGGTTTTAAGCGCGCCTTTGGTGCTGCGTGGCTTGCCTCCTTGCCTGCTTAGGCTTTAGCTGGGACCTCGCCGACAACGAGTCAAATTCGTTACTAAACAGGTTTCGCGCATTTCGCTCCCGTTGGACCCCTGTTCTTGCAGGCGAGAGGGACTCTTGTTCTTCGATCGCGACCTCATTCCACCCATCTCCAGTGTCCTTGTGCACCGAGGGAAGGAGAATGTGCAAGTCGGCCAACGCCTTGAACTCGCCGGCGGAGTGGAATGAACATGCTGCCCACAATGCTTGGCTTCGTTTGACCACAGAGGAGGATGACGATATTGAATTTTTCGTTACTGTCAAAGTAGGCTCACAGTTTGTGCTGCAGGTGACGGGATCGCTCTTCGCCGCCATCGGCCGTAGCAGGAGAGAACATTGCTCACCAGGACAGATAGTGCAAGCCACGTAAGGAATGCGTTTGGCGGTCTACTGGCCTGCGCATTGTCGGTACGCTTATCACCTCGTTAGAACCACCTTTTCACAACCTGCGCAAATAATATTATGTAGATTGAAGTGCCAGCACATAGTCAGCCCCAAGGATATTAGTGTGGACGTGGGTGGACGTGGGTGGACGTGGGTACCCATGGCATAGCCACGTCGAGACCAGCACGAGCTGGAAGGGAAAAACTGGATGCCAGGAAGAAACAAAGTCGGGGACGTCGATCATGCCCGAGTTGTCTGACAGGGCTGAGCACTGCCAATGGTTTCCCAGGGTTTGGGGATCGGCAGTGGTGAGGCTTAGGGGGACTAGACTATTGACTTTCGGCCGCCAAAAGCAGCCTTTTTGGGCGAGGCCCGCATCGGCACTCCCCTAATTTGGGGACACGTCAGCACTATACAGGAATCAGGTGGTGCCGATGCGAGTGTTGGTGCCGATGCGAGTGTTGGTACGCGAGCGAAGGACGTTAGCATATCGCAATCCCTCTCCTTTCTTCTGATAGAACCGTCATGGGCGACATGCAGGCCGGCGGGGCCAGGTGCTCATGGCGCTGATTGAAATCACAACGCCACTTCTCAGACAGCGGAGTACATACGACGACTTCACACAATCTGGGGAAATAACACATGGACGTGTGTCAAGGGCCTATATATTACAGTGCAAGGACATCACGCCACGCTCTGAAGGTGCGTCGCACCACTCGTGCCAGGATTGCTCCGTCTTATCAAGTAGGGCCAGCACTCATCGAACCGCGTCGAACCTCGTTTTTTTGAGAGTCTTTTCCTCGGTGTCTGGTGAAATTATGGTTGCATTTCGAGCAGACCTGCCACTGCACCTGACAACACCGGCGCCTACATGTGTTCTAACGGGTGCCCCGGCACTGTGAAGGCCACCATGAGTAAAGGTCTGCGCCACTCGCACGCCCCAAATATCAATGAGGCCGCGCCACCGCAGTTGTTCCAATTTCCACGACCAAGAAGGATTGGTTGGTTGATATATCATATATGCGGGGTTGTCGATATGGACAAGTGAGCCATCGGTGGCTTCTGCTAATGACCAGGCTTTAGCCTTCTGATGTCCTGCGAGACGTACTGGGCAGACGCGGCTCGCGGGTGGCCTCACCATTTCTGAGACTTTAACAAGGAGGGTCACTGGACCATATTGCCCAGTCCATTATACCCCCAGCCGGCACCCACGACCCCTAACAAATATCTCCAGAATGACTACGCGCCTTTCCACCGTCTTTTCGGGAACGAAAATCGGGGTTTCAATTCGGAGTCAATAAAGAGATGATTGGGGGCATCGTTTTCAACCTTAACAAGGCAGACGGTGACTGCTTAAAGGACCTCGCCGACCAATCCTGGCCAGGACAAAGCTGCTTCACACCTGGACCTTTGGAGGGGAATCGAACTATGCCCTGCGGACCATCGTACCAGCCGCTTTTCGGCCGATCCCTCATTGTAACCCTGCGCTGTAAGACTCCCTAGCAGCAGCGGGATATTCCGCTGCCATGCCGCAAAATGCGGAGAAAGACTCCAATTAGACTGCTTAATAATTGTCTATCTGCCTCCTGGGGATCCATATCGTTAGTGGCATACCGGTAGATCAGCCTCGACATGGCTGTATCCCGGGCAAATTGCTGCCAGCGCTTAATTTTCTTGGGATCCGGAACCACTGTTGTCTCCGGCATCTAACATCCTAGACTATGCATGTTATGTGACAGGCGGTTAGGGACACTTGGGCTAGCTGGTCGCTAGCGGGGATGTCTCTAGGGTGACCCGGATGGGGTTAAAAGGGGAGGTCAGTGCCGTCACTGGGGGAAATCATCGTTTTTCCTTTCATCAGAGATTCTTCCTAGAAGTCAGAGAGGCCGGAAGGGCTCGAGGCTGCTAGGGAGTCTATTAATTGATTGCCTTCATTTTTGAGAGATTTATTTGAGCCTTCTTGCCATCACTACGTTCCCTGTCCAACCTCCGTCTTCAACCTCCCTTAGATATCGGTCTGCCGCAGGCCCCATTGATGCCTTGCCAGCGAACTTTCCTGCGACCGACCCGATATACAATCTCATGAGATGCTTCCCTATCAGGAGACATAAGCCTCAGGTTGATCCGACCTCATACGCGTAATCTGGTGCAGCTTCGGGCTGACCGGCCAAGACGCCTGTGCGACGACTCTCTGTGCATTTCCCCTAGGGAAGGTTAATGAGTTGGGTGTTGTTTTCCGTCCCTTTCTGCTGCTAAATTGGAGGTTACGGTGGGGCGGCAAATCAATTGATCTTGCTCATCAGAGGGATCAATTGATGCACTTCTACGCTGCAAGCCGCCAGACTTGAAAAGAGCAAGAAGGAAAGGAAAGGAAAGACGGGGGGATCGAGACCTCCCCAAATTTCCCATGAGCTGAGGGAGCCCAGGAAGCCCGATCAAACCGGTGAGGAGCCAGGTATCCTGTCTAAGACACTTCCTGCGAGGGAGGATGTCCGCGATGATCCAGACTCCGGGCTATACCAACCACAACTACGCTAACTCTTCGGCTTTAAGGGCTAGACCGAAAAAGAAAGCACAATCGGCTCAGAAAGCATCTTATGGAATGATATTCCTGGATAATCATGCCCGTGGGAGGTCTATTCGAGGCTTAGACTGCCAATTCTGTTCGGTAAGCTATTAGCTAATGAGAATACATGGGGATTAGTCGGATGGGAAGGTGTTATCGCGATGATTGTGACTTGGCATCTTATGAAAGACCGAGGTCTAGTTACGCTAGCTTTGTTGTCCATCTACAGTGTTGGGATCCTAAAGCTTAGGGGGAAAGGTATAAGGGGGGGGATTTTGACCCCAGGAGCGGAAGAAGAAAATAGAGAGATCAGCAGCACCCAGGGAGAGAGTTATCATTACGACGATCGCCCTGTAGAGAGAGATTTCGCCAGGAAGTATGGAAGGGCGCCGAGTAAAGACCTTGATCATCAGCAGCAATTCCCCTCTGTTACTCCTGGCCCATTTTTGAGAGATTTTTACAACCATCGCAACCTATGCCTACTCGAGACAGACACTCAACCCTCCTTTAACTTTCTTTTATTTTTTATTTACAAATTCTTTCTGGCTGTATGTTTCTCTGTGCAGAAGGGATATTATTGCAGTTAGATGTTTATTTTAGTGTAGTTGGCTGAGGCTGTGTTGTAAGAGAAGGATTGTTCTTCAAGAGACTAAGATTTCTCTGACTATACTTGCAATTCTGATACTACTACCAAGGCGAGAAGGAGGAAGAAGAAGAGGAAAGCATCAAATAAGATGCTTGAGAATGCGACTAGCCACCCCCCAATCCAATACGTTAAACTGGCTCAGTTACAGCTTGCTGCTCTTCTAGCCGGTACGGAGTCATATTTACAAGACCGGACCCCTCCGGAGTCAAGTACCCATTCCAAGATGAATCCGAATAACAAGGGCTGCTTGGAAGCCGATGGGGACGATGAATTGGGATCCCTCATCCCTATTCACATGTTTAAATGCGAGTTTAAAGGGACCAATATCACCAGCTTTATGTGGTTGTTCGAGAATTACATTAGAGGCAGGGTTTATACCGACGAGAAAAAGAAGATGCTGTTAATCTATTTTTCCCATGAGGATGTCAGAATGAAGGTGGAAAAGGCCTGTGAATGTGATATCTGGGAGGAAGTTAAGATGAAGCTTCTGGAGGACTTTAAAAGGGAGGATGAGGAACAACAGCTCCAACCCCTTGAAAGGATCCTGAAGATGAACTCCCTGTCCATGAGGAAAGCGACTGATCTTGAGATACTTAACTGGCTCAAGACCCATCGAGAGCTGTGCGAGGCTCTCTAGGATGGAGGGAAATTTAAGGAAGGCAATTCCTATGCCGTTTTCCATACTCTTCCTCGGAAGGTTATTATTCGGGTGTGTAGATGGAAGAATATCTCGGTCTAGGAGCTGCAAGCAAAGACCTATGACGATATGGTCGATCTTATGATATCCTTACTCAAATGGGACCAGGAATTCAAAGACCTAATTGAGGAACCTTGGGAGAGAGAATTTGTGTTGGATGAGAGGCCCTCGGAGAAGAATATGGAACGTTCCTTTCCGCCGCCAAGTCAACTAAAGACCGACCAAGTTATTGACTCCCTTATTAAGATGGTTTAAGGGTTGAGCATCAATGCGGCTTGTTAATAGGAAGATATGGAAGCTAGGTTGGTAGCTATGGTCTAGAATGCTATGGACAAGTAGAGGCTCTTTAATCAGCCTCATTACAATTACAACCCGGCTTCTAGAGGACCTTATGGGGACGACTAGGACTTTATCGTTAATGCTAACTATAGTTAGAGGCAGATTAAATGCTTCTACTGCTGTGTTCCTGGTTATTTTCCCAATTAA